ATCACAGATAATTATGTTCTCGTCTATTTTCGGCTGGTCTCGTCTATTTTCGGCTGGTCTTGGACTAGGTGTCAGTATATTTTATCTCGGCGACAATTGAGTTTGACTAAGACTTGAATTCTCCCAACTGACATTGTTCAATGTTTGTTTTACAAATAGCTGCATGCTTCTAGGCTGTTTACATAACTGTGAATCTAAAATATATAAAAGAATATAATATTTCTGTTTCCTGTTAACTACGCCCTACATATAGGCCTAATTTAATTTACATAACAATAACCACAAGAACGATCGAAAGAAATAAATAAGACAACGATTGGATTCGAACCCGCGGCTGTCTTCAGTGCCTTTAAGCACTTTTCTATGCTTTGCTTCGTGAAATGCTGGTAGAAAACCCACATGTGAAATTACAAGGCTCATATACCGTGAGACCCAGAGGATTTTTGCTAAATCTACCAAATACACACACACACACATACACACACACTAACACGCGCACATTTCTAACCCCCTCTCTGGGTCTTCAATGTTGCCTTTACTAAACACTAAGTTGGAGATGTAAGCTACAAGTACACAGACCTATCTATGTCTTGACTGGCTTGTGACTGGGGTAGGATTTTAACCGCTTGTAAAGTGGTTGAAGATGGGTACTATGACAACATCTAACACTACTGATATTGTATTTGTGTTAGTGATGCTACGGTTTTTTGTATGTGGTTATTGTTAAAATGGGGTGTAAACAATAGTTATTCAAACAACCCAATTTCCGCATAGTTGTTTGTTTATTAGATGCAAGTGCAAATAAACAAATCCCACAAAAACTAAACTGTTATGTTGTTTCGCACATCGTTAGCTCTCACTTTTTTAAATGTTCCTATGTCTCGCGGGTATTCAAGCATCTAATATTTTATAACACGAAGAATGTTGGGGGTGGTTTCTCATTTTGTTACAACGTCCTATGTAGAGTTGGGTGTATTATAAGGTTGTAATATTTAACACAGTTGGGTTTTTTTTTTCTCTTTTTTTTATGTTAGCCAATTTCCAGCTGTCTTGATGGTTTTGATGTATATTTTTAAACCACTATCATGCGTTATTTTTAATTTTAATTTTAAATCACTATATGGCTTAGAGATGTTTCTAATAAAGATGTAAAATCTAATAGTGTATGGCTTTTTTTTTCCCTTTTAAATGTAGGGCCTACTAGTTTTTGTTACTCTGTAGTCTCTAAAAAAATGTAACCCAAGGGAAAGAACTCACATTTAAAATATTACATTTCGTAAATAAAATTATTTCCCCTTAATATTGTATAATTAAGACAAAAATATTACAAATAAATAGAAAACCTATATTAAAAAAATTAATAGGGCGTCTAAGTCGTTGTTTTTTTTTAAATATCAAAGAACGTATTAGGGCTTAGCTTGTTAGTAAATATGAGAAGAATGCCAGACCACATCAGAATAAAAGTTGTACAGAAACGTAGGCCTTGTTGTGGAACTGGCATAGACAACTTCACTGGAACTTCTAGAAAGATCTAGATCATAGATCTCAAGATTTTTAGGGGTCATTGCCATTTTTAAGCCTATTTCTACTTTGTTTCTTTTTATTTTTGGTAATATATAACCCTTAATATAAATATTTTATTTTATAATGTTCAAAACAAGGTAGGCCTACAATACAGGATAGTCAAGCACACTGATCAACTTTTGAATCTCTTGAGAATAATACAAGTGTTTCTGTGAATTTCTGTCAGATATGTTGCGCCTGGGGAGGGGCGCTTGAAACTTTCTGTGGGAATCGGGGAGGGGAGCACTGGTTATAGTATATATTTTCTTTAGGCCTAGGACTATATAGATCTAGATCTATATATATTTGGGGGAGGGGGGTAATCTATCGTTTTAGGTACGTAAAATCGCCCGCGGCTAGTAATGTACGAAAAAGTTACCTCATTGTCAAGGCTTTAATAGAAGTATATTGTGATATATTTGTGTCAAATATTATAGATAAATGAATAATAAACCTAAATCAATGGCTAAATATATCAATATAGGCCAGAAATTGACGTTAAACAGCAGTGTTTGCGTGCAAGATTTGCTATATAAACAGCAACCATTTGTAAAATAGAGTGGCTTCCCCTGAATCTCGCGCTGTAAGTTTACAAAAAAAAACTTATACAAGATGGCTGCTATTGTTAATGAGCATCGTTGCATCTGTTGGAAACATCGCTAGTCTTCATTTATTACTGAAAAGTTTTAATTAAATTGTTTAAAAACAGGTATATAAATGAAACAAGGAAACCTTTTTTTTTTTTCAAAACATAAATCCACCTCAAAATGTGAAATAATTATTAAAATTTAAGGAGTCACCTGTTTTTCACATTACTAGATCTAGTCGCGGGCGATTTTTCGTACCTAAAACGATAGATTATCTTTTTACAAGCTTTTATTTAACTCACTTTCTCGACAGTCTGTCTGTCGTCAGTCTGTCTAGACCGAAACGCCGGAGTGAAAATTCGGACACTTCTACTTGACCGATACGATTCACACTTGGACAGTGGGTCAAGACATGAAGACAATGCAATCTGTAATTAAATTTGACTTAATTGGATGCCTAATTAATTTTTTATGAATTAATTAAAATTTGGACCGAATTAGTAGGCATGTCTATCCAACCACACCACACGCGTCATCACGTTCAATAGCTGCGCCATCACGTTCAATGGCTGCGCCATCACGTTCAGTAGGCGCGCAATGGTTTTTAGTCATGTAACTCTATTGTAAATAAAACATATAAAGTACTGAAAAAAAATTCATAAAAAACGTTTTAATAACAAGCTTTTATGTAATAATGCACTAAAAAGTAGAAAATAAATTATAGACTACTATTTAAATAACTATATAGAAAAGCGTAGGTGTCTTCCTTAAAATTAGTAAAGGTATCCAATAGATACTAAAGTGACCCACGCTTTTCTTTATAGTTATGTAAATAGTAGTCTATAATTTATTTTCTACTTTTTAGTGCATTATTACATAAAAGCTTGTTATTAAAACGTTTTTATGAATTTTTTTTACAAGCTTTTATTTAACTCACTTCCTCTGTCGTCAGTCGTCAGTCTATCTAGATCGAAACGCAGGAGTGAAAATTCGGACAGTTCTGCTTGACCGATACGATTCACATTTGGCACGTGGGTCAAGACATGAAGACAATGCAATCTGAAACAAAATTTGACTTAATTAAGTGCCTAATTAATTTTTTATGAATTAATTAAAATTCGGACCGAATTAGTAGGCATGCTTATCCAACCACACCACACGCGTCATCACGTTCAATAGCTGCGCGATCACGTTCAATGGCTGCGACATCACGTTCAGTAGGCGCGCAATATGTAACTCTATTGTAAATAAAACATGTAAAGTACTGAAAAAAATGTCATAAAAAACGTTTTAATAACAAGCTTTTATGTAATGATGCACTAAAAAGTAGAAAATAAATTATACACTACTATTTAAATTACTATAAAGAAAAGCGTGGGTCTCTTCTCAAATATTAGTAAAGGTATCCAATAGGTACTAAAGTACTAAAGTGACCCACGCTTTTCTTTATAGTTATTTAAATAGTAGTCTATAATTTATTTTCTACTTTTTAGTGCATTAGTACATAAAATCTTGTTATTAAAACGTTTTTTTATGAATTTTTTGTTTGTTTCTATTTCGTTTGAATAGATGCCTGAAAGAAGCTTTGAATAATACTTTTTAAGCACCTGATAATTTTAAAACATTGTTTTTAGGTTTAGATCTAGCTCTATATGCCATATGCTAAAAATTGGTTTTATTCTTCTTTAGAAATTCATTGAAAAATAACGCTTCTAAAAAATATGGATGTTTCTAAAATTAATTTTTTGGGTGCGGTATTTACAATAACCAAAAGGCAAAGAGCGTTCTCGATTAGTTTTTTGGAAAAAAAACCTTTTGGATAGCATAACTTATTTTAGATAATTTTTTTAGGCCTATCGGGATCGGTAGGTAACTAAACTAACTAGATTCTAGAATCTAAATCTGAGATCTACATATTCTAGATCTAGATTTATATCTCACTAGACTTGACTGAATTCGGAATTGTAAACTTTATTGTCTTTACTTTATTCAATTCACTCTTCCTGCTGATAGGCCAGGGTGATGCTGTCAGCTGTGAAACTAGACTCGAGTACTAGAGAGATCTAGATATCTAGATCTAGCTACTATAGCAGCATAGCTAGAGTTAGGGTAAAACTCCATTTTAGTATTTTAGCGTATTTTATTCTCCGCTTCTTGTTTACCTCCAGTTGATCGTATTTTATTATAACAACCGAAACACACCAACAAAACTAGGAAAACACGATTTATTATTATTTGTATTGTATTTTTGTTTTAACAAATGAATAAAAATGATTAAAAAAAACAAAGAGACAGACTTTTTTTTAGATTTTGATAATTTACATTTTTCTTAAAAGTTGAGAAAAATCCAAATTTAGAATAACATGCTGGTAATTAAAGTCAATGTGAACTCACTGTGAACCCGCGACTGTGTAAGGCGTGTAAGGATTTTTCTCGCGCTGACGATCACACGATAGTTAATTGGAACAGTTCTAATGCTTTTTTATGGTTTTTTTTTACCTTTTCTAATAAAAAATCGCATTTATAAAAAAAAAATAAGTAGATCTGTGTTTTCCTAACGTTTTTGTGTGTTTCGGTTGTGTTTACAATAAAATACGCTCAACTGGAGGTGAACGTCAAGCGGGAAATAAAATACGCTAAAATGGAGTTTTACCTAGAGTTAGTTACTGACTGTAGTAAAGCTACTATAATGATACTACTAGACTAAGAAGTTAGAACTTACCTTACTTGTGACTTTTTACTTCATTACTACTTTACTAGATCTAGATTTAAATCTATCTACTATCTACTCTATATTCCACTGGTAAAAGTAATATAGGGGCCTATAAATTCCATTTTGTTCCAGGGCGGTAGACTTTCTTTAACAAAGAGATGCCGCGAAGAAATTCTGTCTAAAAGTGTAGACCTCTCTAGTCTCAGTAAAGGTATTGTGATGTCGCCTAGCTTTTAAACTTTCAGGTTAGCAATCATTCTAATGCTCCTTAGTTTTACTCTGTCCTTTAAATTAATAAAGCATTTTTTTCTTTCAGATCATTTAATAGACAAATTTCAATTTAAGTGAACAAAATGGATGGCATATTGGATGTTCACATCTGTGGAGCCTGTCGCCTAGAATTCTCTGATATTTTTCAGTTTATAAATCATAAAAAAGAATGCTATCTCTCAAATATGAGCAGCTTACAGCCTTCTGTGAATTCACTTGATCCAGATAAAAAGATGACTCAATTTTCAGCTGCTGGTGCTAGAGGACAAATCTGTTACTCAAATCAATCTGATGTGCCCTCAGGAAAGAAATCCTCCGTTAAACAGAAAAGCAACAGGCCCAGGAATGTCACCACCACATTACCTTTGAGCTCAACCCCAGCAGGTGTAAGTCACAGCTTGTTAAGTCTCTCCAGCCACAGCACTACACAACCTGGCCATAAAAAGTCTTCGAGCAGAACACAAAATAATTTGACACAAATAACAGAACCAGGTAATGAATGTTTATATAAGAAAAGGTCTTCAACAAGACATGTTAAAGGTATTTCCACAGATGATATAGCTGTGTACGTTGTCAGTCCGAACTCTTTTGCATCTTCAATAAAAGATGAATGTGACAGGTTGGATTCCCAGAAACATTTGTGTTCCAGGAACCTGTGGTCAGTTTCTACAGTTGACCACAACAGCTGCACACAAGATTTGTACACGTCTAACTTGCCAAAGCCCCAGGGGTCTTGCATTAAGACTGAAGACTTCACTTCCCACTCACAGTTTGACACCAATCATTCATGTGGGATTGACACACCCCTCTCACAACACAGTGACAGGGTGCAAATATTCACTTCTGATGTGGATGTGACCTCAGACTCACATGGTTCAACCCCATGTCCAGAGGACTTAGAAGTAGGTCAGATATCTGCGGCCATGTTGGGTAGAAAAATCACACCAGAGATGCCGCGTTCCCTGATGGGCCTGAGCCAGAATGTCAGCACAGTCTCACAAGCCAGTGACTCCATCTCTCACAAGGTTCCTGACTACATCAGAGAGAACACAGCCAGCGCTCCCATTATGAACGTGGATGCTAAAACAAGGAGACGTGTTTCTGTGGAGAAAAGGGAAAGGCTGCAGGGTGTCTCCGATGACTTGCTGTCCTGTTCTCCATTGCTGGAGTTTATCTCAGATCCCAGCAGTAAAAAATGTGTAAGCAAGGTATGTCTTGACCTGATTCTCATTTTTTTATTAATTAACTGTTCATTTTATGTCAAAACAAACTTTTTACAAACATTCATGGTTTTAAAATGCATCTCCGATTACCAAAACAATAATTGCTATTTTTACATTTAACTGAAAATTCAATTATTCAATAAAATTATTTTTTTTTAAACAAAAAAAAATTTAATTATTAATTTTACTATTAGTTCTAAAGAAAGAAAAGCTAGTATTTCTTAATTTTACTGCTTTCTACTGATGCAAGTTTTATTTGTAACATAATTTTAATTCTCTCAAAAACAATAAGCTGGGTGGTTATCAGTAGTGTAAATATTGTGATTCAATATTGCAAAAGCATATACAATTATATCAATTAAGTTTTTTTTATTACATCTATTTATTAGGATTGTGCAGTATTTTTGTTTTTCTGTTTTTGGTGTCACCAAAAATGTTAATAACATGATTTACTAGTGAGGTGTTATCTTTTATCTGGCAAAAACTAAATTAGAATAGGTGTAGTTTGACAATGGAAGTTGTCTGTATAGTACCTTGGCACATAACCTCTCTGTCAAAGCAAGGTAAAGAGGTAACTTTTATGTAGTCTTATTATTCCTGAGACTGAGTCAGCACTAAAAAAGTTGTGTTCACTTTCAGATGTCTTCCAGCAACAGAAATTTGATTGAATCTTCTCAGCAGGCCAACCAGACTCAGCCAATGGCAGGCTACAAGGCCATCTTTACCAGTCCATCTAGTGCTGGCCATCGACTGGCTCCTACCATTGCAGATCAGCCCTCTGCTCTTGATGAGCACCCTATCATTTCTCATGCCCAGAAAAGCTCACGGCCATTGGTGTATAAAAATATTTCAGCATCTGCTAAAAGTGCCAGTTGTAGAACCAGGTTACAATCTAGTGCAGCTCTTAAACTTGAGAAAACAGAAAAGAAATCACCTTTGCATAATGAAAGTTCAACACTTGCGGAGTCAATATACATAGATAGAGATGCTTGTCCTATGTTAATACCGTCCGAAGATGTTTCTTATCAAAGTGCAGGGGTGGTTAATTCTGAAGGAAATCTTTTAATGAACTCAGTTTCATCCCTTGAATTTAACTCAGGTGCTCCAGTATACCTAGAGGCCCAGGACTTACTGAATGATGGAGGGGAGACAAGGATCAACCCATCCACAGCTTTTCATCTGGTCACCCACAAACCAGTAAGTCAGAAGATGCCAACAGCCTCATTAGTTTATCAGACAATACCAACAGATGACATCTCTAAATCTAAGTTGGCCATCCTTTCCCACGGTAATGACACAATTGGTTTGTATTCACCCACAACGTCCGCGTCATATGATGAAAATTCTGTCATAATTTTGGTTAAAAACAGCGATGGCAGTATTTTAATGCTGCCGAAATGTTCAGACCAGCCTGGTACCTTATTGAGTGAAGGAAATATCAGGGAGGGGAGTTCTCTAGATGCAGGATCTGTCTTCGCCTTTGCCACTGGTCAGAATATGTACCCCAGCAACGGGTTGACTCAGCAGCTTGGCAACGAGCCGAACACATACATCTGTGTGACTCAAAATACTGCCCCAGAAGTGGCCATACCTCAGTACCTGTTCAGAAACCTGGCCACTGTCACTCCGCCCTTCCCCCATTTTATCACAGTACCAGGAGAATCTGTGGTTGGGAATTCTACTGGAGCATATGTCATCACTCAGCCTACTCACACTGTGGTGGAGGAGAACCAGACACCTGTAGCTAAAATTAAAGAAACCAAACCACTGGTTGTGGAAAGAGAGAAATGTATTAGGAAGCCAAGGAAAGTAACTGGCAGTGCACAGCCTTCCACTGTAAAAAATAGTTCTGCAGATGTGAATGTAAAGAAACAACCTGCTCCACAAAATGTCCTTGGAGAGAGTAAGTTGTTTTATGTATTCTTATTCTTTGTTGAATTATATCAGCTTATTTCAGTTTTATTTTTGAACCTTTTGGGTGTAAGTTGATAAATGCTGGGTTATGTTTAATGGGTTGCCAGATTAAATTTTGTGTTTTTAAGTATAGGAACTGTTGTATCTTTTCACATTTCATCTGTACAATCAGGTGTAGTAAACTTTTGGTTAATTTTTACTACTAGCTCCAGAAGTTGCCAGCACAGTGTCAGAGGACAAACAGGAGATAAAGAAGGATCAAGTTTTCATATGCAAAGTTGATAAATGCAGGTATTTAACTCTCAATGGAGTTATTTTACACATTGTATTATTGTGGAAATGCAGGTATTTAACTCTCAATGGAGTTATTTTACACATTGTATTATTGTGGACATTTTGTTACTTGGGCAATATATGAGATGAAAGTTCCAATTTAAAGGAGGAAACCTACCGTAATAAATATGCTTTGTGAGTTTTTGAGTTTAATATAGCACTGTGTATAAGTACATTTGTAGTCTACTTATAAAACTACAAATACCACAATATTTTCACCTAGCTTTAAAAAAGCACTGTGTATAAATACAATATTTTCAACCAGCTATAAAAGTACTGTACAAATACCTCTATATTTTCACCTAGCTATAAAACCACTGTGTACAAAGACTTCCAGAGACACTACAGAATACACACTGGTGAGAAGCCCTTTCAGTGCAAGGATTGTGATAAAAGTTTCAACAGGTCTGACAAACTCAAGATCCACTCCAGGTTTCATGAAGGGATTAAACCTTTCAAATGTCACCTATGTAAGTTGCATCCTTTTTCTATTAATTAACCCAGTGTTAAATAATCATTAGTATTATTTTGATTTGGTAACTTTTTTTATCAAGGTGTATTTTACTTTTAACTTGTAGTTTATTAAAACCTAAGGTTATATGTTTCACTAAAGTACGCAGTGAGAAGTTGGTGTATATTGTTTATATGTTTTTTGTGTTTGAAAATAAATAAACCCTCCCTGTATTACAATAGGTAGCTATGCTACAGTGGATGGTGGCAGCCTTAAGAAACACATGAGAATACACACAGGGGAAAGACCATTTAAGTAAGTTTTGCTGTACTGTATACTAACACTAGCCTTATTTCATGGGGATAAGATCTCGATGTTGGACAAGAAAATGTCAAGTGTGGGATCAACTTTTTACGTCAACCACTAAGGGAAGAATAAAACAGGGAAGGCCAAGGGCAAAGTGGAGGCACACAGCAGTAAAAAAAAAAATTACAAAAGCAAGACTATCTTGGGGTACTGCTAAGAAAATCACCAGAGACTGGCAAAAGTAGAAAAAGCTTTTTCTGGAGGCTCCCATGTGTCATGGGCACAAAAGGGAAAAGATGATGACTAAGTTGCACAGAACGGCATGGTCATACAGTAGAGTATATGAGTGCTAACCAAAAAGTCTTGAGTCTGTAGGTCTTCCTTGAGTACACTCGATTTACATTTGGGAAAGTAAAGGCAGATAGGTGCATAGCTGACCATGCTATTCCTTCAAATATCACAGAGTAGAATACTGATGTCCTATGGACCGAGTGGTTCAAAAGGGTAACTAAGTCATAGATATGACATCATATTTCCTACAAATTTTAAGTCTTAAAATTGTGTTTCTGACTTGATTAGAATCTTCTTTTTTCTACTAAAATGTGTTATTCCCCCTGATTTTGTAGGTGCCAAATCTGCTCCCACGCCAGCAGAAACTCCAGCCAGTTGGTGGTCCACCTGCGCACACACACAGGGGATTCCCCCTTCCATTGCAACACATGCTCTGCCAAGTTCAAGATCAACTCTGACCTCAAACGCCATATGCGCATTCACACAGGAGAGAAACCTTACAAGTGTGAGTTCTGTGACTACAAGTCATCTAATGGAGGTGAGCAACCAGTGGTTTCCTACAATTTATCATATTTGTGTTAGTAATGTTTTCTTACTTTTTAATGGAATAGGTTGATTAACAACTGTCATGTATTATAATTAGGTGTTGATTTATTCAATTTTCTGTAAGAGAAACTAGATAAAAAAAATATTATTACTGTAAATAATTAATTGATTAAAAAAAAGTAATGTGCCCTTCCAAATCAGATGGTCTGATAAATTATAGCTATTTATTCTTAAGACCGATTGCCATGCCGTTTTATTTTCCCTGACTTAAGTACGCTATTCATTGGGGATGTGTTGACTGCGAGACTTCCTATAAACATGAGTCTGAATACTAACTCATTAGATTTAGGGTAAGCAATTAATTCATGTTATGATATCCCCTTATTTACATTGTCATCTCTGTTTACCTCCATGCAGGCAACCTGAAGAACCATGTGAAGTTCAACCACTCCAAGGAAAATGAAATAAGCTGCAGCGAGTGTGACTTTGTCACCTCCTCCAGGAAACGGCTGAAAGAACACTCCAAGCTGCACGACCCCAAGCAGATGATCAAGTGCCAACAGTGTGACTACACCTGCACTAGTCTCAACGCCCTGCGCAGCCATAACAGCATACACTTGTCCGTCAAACCTTACCGCTGTAACTACTGTACGTTTACGTCAAAACAAAGTGGTAGCCTGAAGAAACATGTCCAAACTCAGCACATAGACAAGATGCTGGCTGCAGCGAAGGGTAAAAAAAGCACAGCTGCAAGCTTAGGAAATAATTTACTGAAAGAAAATAAAGCAGCTAGAGAGAAAGTGGACGAGCGCAGAGCACGAGGAAACGTGTCCTGTTACAAAAGGGTGCATGTTTGCAAGGAGTGTGGATCCAGTTTTGTCAGGGAAGATTCTCTAAGGAGTCACATGAAACAACATGGTCAAGGGGAGGTAAGTCTTTATTTTCCAGAATCTCCATGCAGCTTTTACTGTTAGGTGCTCTCCCTTGAATTAACTATGTTTAATGACCAGTGTCTTTGTGAACAAGATTTTAAAAAAGAAGAGTGTAATAATGTTAAGTTTAACTGTACACACCAGAACAGTGCAATTCTAAATTGTTCAATTGTTTAATGCCGTTCTCTAAACAGGTCAAGTCAAAATATTGTTTCATATTTTTTCATCCTCCCAGAACAATGCCCCATTAGAGCAGAAACAAGACCAGTTTAGCACACATCAGGCCACTAAAACTGGTACACAGCCTGGTACTGCAAGCAAGCTACAGGGCAATCCTGATGGAAAGTTGTCTGATAACACAAATGTCAGTGTGTCCGAACCTGTGACCTTGACCCAGAAGTCAACAGGTCACGACACGTCAGGCTTCCCAGAGCTAAAAACTGAAGATGGCAGTGAGGACCTGAAGGCTTGTGTCCCTCAGGAGTCTACATCATTACCTGGAGGTCAGCAGGGAGGTCAGCAGAAGGCTGTTACCCACCTGCCCTGGGAACATAGGTCCTACACCTTGTCAGTCTCAGACAAGGAGAAAAGTTCTCCCCAGCAAGGCACATCCAGTGAAAACATGCACGCGCCGTCTCAGAAAAGAAAGTCCACCAAGTATGACATTCACGGGGTCGAACCACTTGCCAATAAAAACCAAAGTTTACATCAGAATGTGGCTCATGTTAGCCCTGGTATTAATGCCGCACATGCTCAGAAGAGGAGGAAACACACGGGTGTGTCACCCCAGATATTGTCGCCCACACCAAAAAACTACTCCACCCCTGTCATACTGTCACCTCAACAGCCAGCCTGCCAGACACAAATATTTTTGCAGCAACCTTTGACCTCCAATGCTCCAAACTGTGATTTGTCTTCAGAATTGAAGACGACATTAATTTTAACAAATCAGGTAAAATTTCCTTTTTGATTGTGGTCACTTAACACATCATACATGGCAGTACCTGATATGCATGCTAGCTGGCTAACCAGATGCTACTTGAAGGATTAATAGCTTAGTATTAAAGTTGGTACTTACCATAACAGGTGTATAATAAAAGCAATTGAATTTAGATCAATTGACAATTTGTATAATAGATGATACCCCATCTACATTGTATTACAGAGATGTCTGTTTATCTGTCAATGTCATTTAGTTTCAGTCCATAGCAAACAGTGGTTTAAATCTATGTGTGCTGTACTGTTTTTTTTTTTTCAGAATTTCTGCCATCAGTTGAGTTCACCACCCAACTCCCTTCTTCAGTTCCACCCTGGAGCTCAGATCCAGATAGTTCTTCCAAGTACCTCAATACCTGGGATGGTCCAGGATAGCAAACAACAGGTCTTCATACCACATCATGACATAGCACTTCAGGTTGGTTTAAATATAGGCCTTGTTCAAAGTCATTTAGGTGTACATCATACAAATCATGGGACGGCATGGCCTAGTGGTAGAGCGCTAGACTGCTAACCCAGAAGTATCTAGTTTGAATCCTGGTTAACATCAGTAGAACATCCACCCAGCTCTGATGGGTACCTAACTCATGTTAGGGAAAATAAAGGTGGCTAGGCATAGTTCTAACTACACTATCCCTACATATGCCGAGGTCACAGAAACAGGTGAACTCTTACTTCCCTTGTCCCATGGACCATCAGGATCGAAAAGGAAGCTTCACTTTTCTTTACATACAAATTATTTTGAAAATTTTAAATTGTACTTTGAAATTTTTGATCCTGTATTTAGGCAGCTGGTCAAGTTGAAGCACAAATGTTTACCATAACAGAGAATCATGAGGTTATGTCATCCCCTTTGGCTCAAATCTAAGTGATAGAATTATTCTGTGCCTTCTAACTCAAAGGAAAGCAATGAGCTAAAGATGTCAGTAGCTTAACACTGGCATGTGTTGAATGGATATGTTACTGGTAAATGCTATTGTAATAATTCTTTTACATACTTTAATGCACATCATATTTTTTTGTATAAATAGTCATCAGTTAACATTTAATATAAAATAAAAATTATCTCATTATTTAACCAATATCAGGTCCAACAAACAGAAGCTCTATCCATGTTCAGACATCAGTTTTCTTGCAGATAGTTGATTTTTATCTGGTAAATTCCATTATATATCAACTACCTAGTTTTTTTGTTGTTGTTTTTTTTAAATAAATATTATAGAAAATATCTTTAAAATTTAAAAATAAATCTTTAAAATAAATTTAATAATAAATCACATTCAAAATGTTAATTTATTACTTTTTCAGGTGAAGTCAGTCTTAAATGAGGGAATATTCCAAGAATCTTCATTGAGAATTATCATTTTGAATGAACATGTATTTTCAATAGCTCGGGATTTTAAAGTGTAAAATATTATTTTATGGAAAAAGGTTAAGTAGTGTCCTATAGAGTGTAAAAATACAATTTGAAACAGTGCCTCCTCCAACCATTATACAATGTCCATTTGAATATCTTGATGATGTAATTACAATATTTTATGTAATCATACTCATTATAAATGGATGTAAGCCAACAGCTGGTTGACATTTATGATCCTTTTTTTTTTTTAGCAAAGTTTTATTTAGTGTGTATGGCTTATTTAACTGTTGAGTACATTAGCACAGCAACTTAAATATTTTAAATGTTTACGTTTTGCATGCAGGATGAACTGTTTGTCAAACCAATGAGCATATTGTCACATCTTTCCCACACCCCCCCCCCCCCACCCCTGTCTTTCATTTTTAAAAATCTCAGTTGATGTTAATGACTATTAGAATAAAGTATTTTCAGACACATCAGCAGTATTTTAAAATTGAATTAAATTATTAACATTTTGTTTTTGTGTCTTTTTGTAATTTTGTAAAAATATAATTTAATGTCCTGCTCTTAATCAGTACTGTATTAATAATATCTATATATATATAATTCTCTTCTGGGATCAGTTAAAAAACAAGCTGCAAGCGCGCCTTTGCAGTCCCCTCTCTTCCTCTCTATCACTACCACCCCCACCCCACCCCCACATGATCTGGTGAGTGGTGTTCACTCTGTTTACATTTTACAATCACAGAGACGGGTTTGGTGACGGTTATTAGGGGCAGATAATTTAGTTTGAAACGATTTTAAACTTAGAGGAGGTAACTAAGAGGAGGCTGCTTTCACGTGGGGGGGGGGGGTAGTGTTTTTAAGCAAATATTTTCAATGGCAGCATTGGTACTGTCGAATTCACAAATTATAAATTACTGAAAAGTAGAAAAAAACAACTAAATAGCGGCGTATGATACGCAGCGGGTCGGCTCGTCTGGTTTATTCAAACAAAGATGCCAGCCTTGCCATAACTTATAATGGAAGTGTTTAAAATTGTACACAAACATTAAAGCATTCGGTTGCTGAAAAGGGATAGAGCTTACTTTAGCAGTGGCCACTTGTAATAAAAGTGGTGTACCTAAACCAAACTCAGGTAGAGGGCAGTGTTTCTTTCAGGAATTTCCTGACAAAACAGAAAAGTTGATATAGACCCTCCCCTCAACCCAGAAATTTTTGTCTCTTTTTCCTGCCTGAAAGAAACTAGATAGATAAATCCATTTTAAAATTCAGTTTTTTCAGCGATTGTGACAGGGTTATATCTCTGGTTACACAAGTCAGGCTGAAATAAAACAAATATAAAAAACCTTTAGAGTAACAAGCTTTTAAATACACTGAAAATGAAAGAAAATTAATTTGCTTTCTTTAACAAAAGCTTTGTAGCTAAACTGTAAAACACGGGTTCCCAACCTGGGGGTCGCGACCCCCAGGGGGGTCGCGAAGGGCTATCTGAGGGGTCGCCAACTGGTATACTAAACCCCTTAGTAATTTGATACAAAACATAAATATTTAGAAGAATTTTTGAAATTCGGCTTTACTAACATCGCTGGAAAGGGAATAGAGAAGAAGCAAAGCGTACTGTACAAAGTTTTTCTCAGACACGAGTTTATGAAATCTTCAAAACTAAAACGTCATTTCAGACGAGTCATTCGAAACACACCAAAAAAGATATGGAGTTCTTTCGTCAGTATGAAGCTAGTTGCAAACGTCAGAGACTTGATAGAACAGGAAGTTTTCACCAAGGAAACACAGCATTAGTGCAAGCATCACATGAAGTCGCGACAGAAAATGCCAAGCAAAAAAATAAACACAATAGGAGAAAATCTCATCAAACGCTGCATGTTGAAGATGGTGAAGTTAATTCTTACATGTCTGTAGATGTTAAATAACACATTTTTATTGAAATTAAGCTTTCACCATTAGTTGCTTTTCAAGTTGATAAATCAACAGACGGGAGTTCGTGTTCGCAGTTGTTGGTCTTTGTCTATATTCATTTAGATGATAGCAAAGAAGAGATGCTCTTTTGTGAAGAAAGCATGGAGAAAATAAATACGTTTTTTTTTTAAAATTGGATAATTAAAATGGGTTAAAACGGCTGTGAGGGTTTGTACGGATGGTGCACCATCTATGTTCCGTTTAGGTCAAAATCGAGCTTTCAGAAAGCAGTAAAAAAAGATTTAACTCCCTAACCACTGCCCTCACCAATCGCCATCAAGACTCCATTGCTAGTATAAGTGGTAAATTATATAAAATCTGGAGCCTTCAAAGAACTGAGCAAAGACCTGAATAAAGATCCCTAGTTTCTGCTCTTCTACACTACAGTGCGCTGGTTGTCAAACGAATTGTTGTGAATCGTGTTTTTGAATTGAAATCTGAAATCAAATTGTTCTTGGAAATGCAAAGGAAACAAGACCTTTTGGTATGCTTAAAACGACATAGAGTGGTTGGGGAGAGTATCATACCTAGCAGCATCAACATAAGCATAACCTGAAGCTTCAGGGAAAATGAACGAATATTATCACTCTCCATGATAATCTCGGGGCATTTTTATCAAAGCTGCAAAATCGGCGAAGAAAATAAATCTTGGAAATATTGTAAATTTGAGAAACTCTGCAGTGTGGTAGATGAATCTAATTGTGAGATAATTAAAATTTTGAAAGAAGAAATTTCTGGGCATCTTGAATCAAGTGAAAACGAATTGCAGCGCTATTTCTCTGAGCTGAAAAAAAAAAGAATCTGCATTTACGCATTACCCATTCTCTTCTTCCCCCGATGTTGCCAGCATTCACGATGAATTACAAGATGAATTCTTTGATTTGTAGAATGATTCCGAGAAAGATAAAAAAACTGCACACTCAATTTTGGTGTAGTATTCACCATTCATACCCAAACGTAAAATTGATTGACTTTTCGAGAATAGATTTTCAACACTATTTTTCGATTAAAAACAAAATTAAGATAATGATAATGACATAGGTTGGGGTTAACAAAAAAAAATTAATCACGAATGTTTAGTGAATAGTATGCAATTTTACTCATGTTATTAAAACAGTTATCAAGAGTAGTTCATATTGAAAGTCTACTAGAAAATGTTATTTTAGTGCTTATTAATTACCATACTAATTTCGGCTTTTTAATTCAATGGGGGTCGCGGGTCACTTAATTTTTATAAAAGGGGGTCGCCAATCGTAAAAGGTTGGGAACCACTGCTGTAAAAGATCCCACTAGCAACCAAAGCTTTTATGAAAGAAAGCAAATTTATTTTATTTAATAATTTTCAGTGCATTTAAAAGCTTGATACTATAAAGGTTGTTATATTTGCCTTAGACCGTCAAATGTCAGATATCATTAGATCTAACAAACAAAAAATCCATTCTTTTCTAGTTTACTAAATTAGAAAGCACAAAATAGGGGTTATTACTAAAATATAGGCCCCCTATGGTGATGAGGTGAGGCAACCATCTAAAATCTTAGAGCAATAATGCAGACATCCTGGACACAAAGTATGCCCACCTATTGGATGAACAATAAGGTCCAAACATCTTTTTAAAAGAAAAGGATGTTACACAATGTATTTGCAGTTTCTGTAGCTTAGTTATTTAATATAAGGCAGAGTCACTAGCACTGGGCTCAGCCCTCTTTTTTAACCCTGACTTGGGAAGACCGGCGGTTTGTGCAATATTGACCACTTGTAATTTTATACCATATTAATGTGATTGTGACAAGTCTGCCAAACTGATAAATTCTTAAGTTTTCAATTACACTTAATATAAATGAGAATGTATTTACCAGATATAAATTTTGTTGACTATCAAACACATTGAAACATTTGTTTCTGTATAATGCTGAGGTCAAATTAAACAGATTATTTTTTTATATTAAGTAGTTTTTTTTCTTTCTCAATGTTAAACTTATGTCTAACTGAGCAATTTAATGAAGTTAGGCTGTCTTGAATTTTAAATTTTTTTATTTAATTAGAATCAAGGTCTAATAATACTATCAAACTTGTCCAGTTGAATTTAGATAACTGGACCAAGGGAAGACCGGTGGTGCCTCAAAAGCCTACGAGATTACTTGACTTGAAACAATTCATTTGTCCTGTCTAGTCTAGATGGTGAGAATTAACATAACTGGTCACTCTGGTGTTATTAGAATGACCTTTCATTAATTTTAATAACTACCCATACTGTCTCATTCTTGAACATTAAAAAACAAAAGATACAAAGTCGTACAAAATGTGATACTTTTATATAAGTTGACATTTTTCTTAAAAATATTAGGCACATAATAAAATTAATATAGTAAGTAACAATACATTCCCAATGTACTAAACTTTTGCAATAATGGAAGACACTTAACCACGTGACTGAAGAAAAGGACTATGTACAGTTAACAAGAGAGAGGAAAGATTTACCGCCAACTCTAATCTTAAAATTCTAAAAACATTTTCTGAATAACCAATAGAAAAGACACATGAAAAATACTCTTATGTACAGCAATCAACAGAAACGAACAATTTTTAAAATGGGCATTAGCTGTTAGTCAATTAAAAATTGATTAAAACAAAATAGCTTGGTCCCCATTAAATAAGGTTTAGGGTAATCCTGCAATTTGGAGTGAAAATGTATACAACAGAAATCTTGATACGTTCAGTTTTAGTATGATTAATTCATTCTTTATCCTCAAGTTAGCATGTTGATGACTGTAGATATGATAGAATGATTGTGAATAGATGTCTTTACAATTTTCAACTTCATCATTATAATAAAACAGTAAAACATTCAAATTTTTTTACATGATTTACAATAGAACCAATTAAATAGCAGGCAAATAAGACAGATGACAAGCTGATGCAGGAACCAGAGGTCACATCAACACAACTGGTGGCTTGTTTCATCAGGTAACACTAATATCTGAGGGGGTTTTAATTTCAGATGTTATTAGTGTGAATCTCCATGATTCATCCTGTACAAAAATTTATAACAGGTGTAGAAAATTGTGTATTTATACATCAGTGCTCTCATATTTTGATCTGATGCGCTGTGAGAACCTTGGAGACTGAGCTTCTGTTAGTGGTTTGTCACTAGGCTTTACAACAACAGCTTTATACCTGAACAAGGAAGAATACATGTAACATTGTAAAAACACAAAGTTCAAGATTATTTAACTTTTCAGCTGATAAAAACATTTTTTACTCATGTTAACCCATTAGATTAAAATATATTAAGATAAACTTTCATTTAAAAAAAGATCCAAAAATAGTGTACACTTGTGACTTACTTTTTAATGCCTGATGCTTTATGAACAGCTTCCTGTCTCAGACGAGCCACAGCAGCCTTTTCTTCTTGTTCAATTCGCTCTTCTCTCTGCCTTTTTAAAGCTTCTATCTCTGCTTCACGTGCCTTAATGTGTTGGTCAAAAACCTCACGTTGTGAGGCCCTCTGGTCAGTGTTGAGAGCAAATCCATTGATCTCTGCAAAGTTGATTCAGTTGTTGTAAGGAGTCGTGATAGCCAAGTTTGTTTTTATTATTAACATAACATTACATGTGTAATTATGGAACAACATACCTGTAAGGGGTTTAGATGATTTCTGGGCTTGGAATGGCTCTTTGTGTATCACATCATTAGGTCTAGCCTTAAACTGAGCTGCCTCTCTGGCTGCTCGCTCTTCTTCCTCAATCTGCTTGTAAACAGAAATAATACAGGTCAATGTCTAAAAACAATGGTTTATAGACATTCAGCTTAAAAGTCTGTAAAAAACAAAATGTTATGCACCTACAGGACCTCAAACATTTTTATGCTCAGACATAAAACATTTTAAACTTATTGTATCGCAAACAATACATTTTTAAAAATTTCTATATATAATTAAAAAAATAAAACAGAGCACTGTACAAAAAATTGTCTAGGAATATTTTGTTTTAGGCTATATAGCTCATTAATTTTACAATTGCATAATACAATTATTTTAAAAAATCAACTTACTAATATTTCAATAAAACTATTTCAAATGCTAAAAAGAACTACTCTTTTCAAATGTAATTTGATCTATATTAATTAACTTAATATCAAAGTCACATTCAACAGCGTAGATATTTTAATTAATGGTACTAATTATACTAATTTTATCAAGTTAGAAATCATCTTTTAAAACTATGATCAACTTCATAAAAATTCTTGAAAATTAATCATTGGTGATGGATCAACAAGAAAACTAATTATTTCTGCCTTCAGTTGCTATCTTTTGTCAGCAGTGAGACTTCCATTACTACATGCAAATAAATGTGCTATAAATAGTTTAGGCACATTAGACAGTAAAGCATTTATCCAAATGGACACCAGCGAGAAAAGTCTCAAAGGTATTTGAGAGGTGTATAAATTCATTTAAAAATCTTGCACGGCGTAGTTACAATTAATATGGTTATAAAATCCTGTCTGTCTGGTTTTTTTCGGACTTTACTAAAGATTGGATATATTTGATGTTTTTAATATTTTCGGTAACTAAATAAAAAGAAAAAAAAAAGAAAAAACAATTTGGTTTTCACGTGTAATGGCGACATAAACAATGGCCGACATAAATTTTATTGTACACATTGTAAGCTAAAAATAGAAACAATAGGTCATGGTGTTTAAATTTGCATAGTTACTTAAAAATTTGATCTGCAAAGTTTTGTAAACAAAATAACTATAAAGTGGGGCTGTCAGAAATCGATCACGGAGTTCCTTTACAGCCAATCACTGTTTGTCTTACGAAAGTGAAACATCGGGTTATAACTTAGGCTTGATGAAAATAAATAGAAATGTAGCCTTAAACTCAACAAATTATTTTCAAGTTCTCTGGATCTGCAACTTGTATAGCATTGATTCTAAAACTATTACATTTCTGAATTAATTTTAGGCTTAAGTTTTTAATAAAATTTTATCTTTTATTAGTTTTATGGTCCTAAATCTAAAAAAGCACATTTTTATTCCATGTCAACAATATTACGGAGGGAATCTCGTCTACTCGCTGGTGTCCATTATATGTATTCTGTCTTTATCCCTAATTTAGGCCTGGGCTGTACAGAAAAGTGAGTAGTATTTTATCGATCGATGCTAAAAGAATAATTTTATCAATTGTCTAAGCAACCACATTTATTACAAAATTTAACTGGTCAGAAGACTAACTTTTAATAAAGTATCTCTTAAAAATCAACCAACCTTTGCTTTGAATTGCTCCTTGTATTTTTGCCCCCTTTCATCAGCTTCCAGATGAAAAGGTTCAGGTTGAGTAGGTGGACGGGTTTGTTTTGGTGGCAGTGTATCAGGGCTATCACTAGGTAAATCCTGGGCATGGAACTCTCTTGCCTGTAATCAACAACTTTTTTTTTAAAAACTCATCCAAGCTAAAAACTAAAGATTTGTACTAGAGTAGAAATAAACACAAACCTTGCGTTCCTCTTCCAGAATTTGTTGTATTTTTTGTTCCTTTCTAGAGAGCATTTCTCTGCTTCTCTCATCCACTGTGAAAGGTTCAGGTACTGTGCGGTGATGTGCTAGTCTTGGCTTGAAGGGGATACCAGTATATGGTACTGGATTCACTTTAATAGCATTCTTGCTATCATCCTGTGGAGGAAATTAGCAAACTGATTATCTAATTTTGTTTTTACATCCTTGTTAGCATATGATAAAAACAACTAAATACAGCTTACAAAACCTCAAATACATTTTTTTTTAGGGCAATGAAATTATGAAATTTAAACCCTGTTTGTTTATTTACATGTAAGTTGTATAGCCCAATAATTGACAAGTCTTTTATCAATAACCAGCGTCACTTCCTAGTAAACAAACCTGTTTAGGTACTTCAATAGGTATTCTAACTCGGTTTTTTAAGGCAAATGCTGGAGATTCAGGAATAGTAATGGCCTGTGGTTCAACTGGCTTCACACCCTATTAAAAAAATTAAATGCATGCAAATATTAAACAAGTGTTAGAGATTAGTGTAATACAGTGTATACCTTAAAGTAATTGGTTAACAAGAGCAAACAATCACACATAATTTATCTATTTCAACTTTAACTACTTAAATGTATTTACTAACTATGCAAGACACTACAATGGGTTGTATTTTATAAGTAAAATGCCTAGAAAAATGGAAATTCACTCACCACCGTTCCTTGCAATATCTTAGGATTGACAGGTCGTGCATGAAATTCATACTTCTCCTCCTCTTCTGCCCCTGCCCCTCTTATATCCCCAACACTCTCAGATTTCTTGTGATGAAAGCTGAACTCCTCAGCAACAGTGGTGGGTTTAGGGGTCACTTTTGGTACACCAATATTTGGCACCTCAAATATTTTGTGATTAACAGGATGAGCCTTGAACTGTTGCCTGAAATTCAGAGAGTGGTAAGTGTACTTAAGTAAAATTGAGATGTATAAGATGTGTATTTATATTTGTTTAGTGTGATTTCCTAGCTGAGTGTCAATACTATTTGATCATTAACCATTGAAGTGAGCCTCATTTTGTCAGTCAATCACAGCTTGTTTGTGGTAAAAATAAGGGCAATAAGTTGTATCCAAATATTTATTTCCTATTTGTATAGCTCTACCTCGTAAAAAAGAATGCGCCTCAAACAAACTAAATAAAGATTCTAATTACATTTACAATATAAAATGCAACTAACTTTTGATGTTCATCAAATTCTAACATTTCTTTTTCCTCTGTTGTCAATGCATGTACAGGTCTTGATCTTCCCCTTGTTGTTAAATTCGGTGTTTTTGGCACAGTTAGCTTGGGGGATTGTGATCTCAGTCGATGACCAGACCCGGAGGTGTTAGATTTTGTAGCTGAACGAGATCGTTCTTTGCTTGCTGTAATGTCAAACAGAATTTTTGTTTAAACTTGTTAATATACTTAAAGTTTTACAAATTAACTAGACATGTAAATTGTTTTTCTACAGCTGTAATAAATATTGAATGTTTCAAAAACTACAAAATAATAAAAACATACCATTAGGTCTACTTCTGAAACGATCAGGAGTCTTGTTATGAAAAGCTGACACTCTTTCAGCCATTGACTCATATTTCTGAGGTTGTACAAGTGAGCCAGTGCTCTTTTGTGTATGAAGTTTAAAAGGTTTGGGCTTTGTCAGTCCTTGGATTGTTGGTTTTGTTGGAAGCTGAAAAAAATTAACTTAGCATCAATAATGTGTTCAAAACCTGACTAGATTAGCTGAAATTTTTAAGCTAAAATTTCAAGCAACAAAAAATTTAAAGAAGCCTGATTTTAAAAAATTACAGCTGATTGTGGAAGGGCCTCTCGTAATGATTTAGCGAAATCCTTCACTCTCTGTTCACAGACTTGACCATCTGGTGCTTTTATTCTTTCATCGGTTTTAAAATGAAAGCCTAGAGGAAGAGTTGAAGGTTGATTTGATCTTATTGGTACGTATCCCTGAGCGGTCATTGCCTTCTTGTATGATTCCTATTTAGAAAAATATTAAGAATAAATATGTTTCAGGATCAAACAACAGAATAGGCCAAAAGGGTATTAAAGTAGATGATCTTATATTGTAAAGTAAGAAAATGAAATAGTACCAAAAAAAAATTCTTTTCCAAACCATAAATTAAATTACCTGTGCAAGCTTGCGTGTTTTTGCCATCTCTTTTTTTAATGCAGCAATCCTTTCCAATTCAATTTCCTCCGAAGTCTTCACTTTGCTATTAAGATTTAACATGGATCCAGAATTCTGATCAGACAATTTACCCTTAGCAGCATTACTAGCTTCAGCCTTTGCTAGAGTCCCCATGCTGTTTGATTTAGACATAGACTTGACCTTTAAGCTCTGTGATCTCCTCAAAGCAAAACCCTGAGCAGTTGAATTATGAGACTGGCCTGGAGATTTAACAAGCTTCCTTGGAGATCGCCTCACAGCTTTCTGACCTGAGCTGGTCCCTTGTTGTCTTATCACAGGTGAATTACTTCCTGCCATTCTTTTCCTTGGAGAACCATTGCGAGATCCAGAATGAATTAACTTGCTGCTATTTAATGTCTTCTGTCTAGTGTTTGCAGCTGGAGAATCTATTGGTTTATCCACATTAGGGGTGTGGGATCTTCTGACAGGGGAACTTAATTCAGCTTTGTCTACTGTTGAGGTATGAGTAGTTTCAGGCTGTTCTTCTGACATCTTCTGACGCTTGCTAGGAGATGGGCACAATTTTCTGTAAATAATAAGCATTACATTTTCACAAATTAATTAAAAGTACGAAATATTAAAATTATAAAGACTTGATTGACAAGTAAAATTTTAATTTCTTACGCAGAACTGACAGAAGAGTTATGTTTCTCTGCAACAGACATCCTAGCTGATTTTTCTTTAGATGATGAACTGTGGAATAAAAGGGGTGATGATTTACAATAATACATTATCAAATAATTTCCAACTATCAAAGTAAAAATGTGTCATGTAATATGGTTGTTTTTTGTTTCAATTTTGATAAAAAAATAAGTTTTATTTTGAGAAAAACATACCTTGGAGATTTCTCCCCAATTTCCATTGGCTCAGCCTTATTATTTTCAATGCGCACAGCATTACCTGGGTAATTAAAAAGCAATAAAAAATTAATAATTACCTATTTATATCTCCCACTATACGCAAAAAAAAAATTTAAACAATAGTCCACATTGAGCAAAAAATAAAAAAAGAAACAGAAAATTACCTGCTGTTTTTAAAATTCTAAGAGCATTTTCTCTGTGTGATTTTTTTGCACAATCGTTGCCACCACCTATATGAAAATAACAAATCTGTTAATTCAGATTGAAATGAAGAAATTGGAATTTAATGCTGCTGCGCAAATATAATAAAAGACTATATTGGGGTCCGATAAGGCCACGGAAGTAGTGGAGAGCTCTTAAAAATGAGTGTTAGGTTACTGGTAATAAGCTACATAAATACCAATACTGAATATAACTTGATAATTTCAACACAAACCCAACTCACACTAGAACCATAACCCCAACAGCTACTTTCCAAAGTCCATTGCAGAACAATGGAAGAAACGATACTCCACATTTAAAGTGAATAGATTTTAAAATGCTTAAAAAATGTACCTCCTTCCTTGCCAAGTCCATTAATTTCATCTTCTTCAAAATCTGTATTAAAAAATATAAAAAAAAAGAAAATTTAATGGTGGAACCTTGACATGACAACACATACGTCAGAATTGTGTGTGTTGCTCGTGATGAGATTAATTTTTACTTTTCTATTATGGCTTAGTAGCTGACTTGTGATTATCATGATGGGATGTCATGTGATTTCTTTCTTAATATTTAATCCCTTCAAAATATGTCAAGCACAAGAAAAAAGTGGTCGGACTAATCTGTATTGTATAGTTTCATTCACATGTTTAACAGAACTTGACGAGGGTCAGCGTCCCCAAAGTCAAACACCATCAAACTTTTATTTTTTAAATACTGTATATAGAGAAGATTTGAATCGCGCCCTGTTGGGTTGCCACCCATGCGATTTTGAAAAAAAAAAAGCGGAAGCGTCCCCAGGAGTATTCTCAACAACTTCATAAAGTTTTATTGCAATCGGATGAAAGGTGTAGTAATGCAAAAAAAAAAGACAAACACACACATTGAATTATATATATTCTATAGGCCTATAGATTTAGGCCTAGATCTACATGTAATTTGAAAAATAAAAATTCATTGTTCCTACTAGGGCCTATTACTTTTAAGAATGGTTTGGTGAATGCACCTTTCATGTCATATGAAGTAAAGTGAAGCTGGTGATTTTTGATACCTCCAAAAAGGCTAAGAATAAGAAGCAGTGCAGTGAAACTTCACCTTCAGGTATACTAGATCTAGAATGAAATCTTTGAACAAACTCACTGACTAATAAAGTCTAAATCTTCCTCTAACTCAAGAAAATTAATCAAGTCCTAGATCTACTGGTAAAACTTATTAATATTTAGAAGGACAATGCTAAAGATATGCATGCGCAATGGAGAGAAACTATGACTTTGCATCGCGGCGATGTTTTCTATGGTACTGCGCATGCGCGTGTTTACAACCGCAGAACCCTAACACCCAAACCTAATCCTATCCATAATCCTAACTAACCCTAACCCTGGGTCACTGCGCAGAGCTATCTTTTGCCGACTAAGTGGAGACATGGGGAGAAAAATCTTCCGAGTAGTCACTTTGTATTTAGAAACCTCCATAATCTATCAATTTAGTTAAGTAAATAATTCCGCTAAAGTTAGATCTAGATTAGATCTAGTAGAATAAGTAGAAAAAATATAGATATAGAATCTAAAATGTACTAGATCTAGATCTAAATAAGGTGGAGAGGTAACCAATGAATTGATGATGATTGATTGTGATTTGGTAGGCCTATTCAGGCCTATTGACTATTGAATTTTCTGCTAAATTTTGTAAAATATGCCATAACCATGCATAAGTTATCTAGAATTAGTAGAATGTAGACCTAGATCTAATTTTTCTATACAAGCAGTAGGACTAGATCTATACTATAGACTATAGAGATACGGATACAGACAGATTACATTCTTACGGAAACTCCAAACCAAATCTCTTTGGACTCCGTCACACACTCTTCCTCATTCGAATCACCCACACAAATCAAATCCCAACCCGGCCATAGGTCTACCCAATCCGTATTTTCACATTTTGAAACAAGGGAAATCTAGATCTAGATCTAGTTAACTTACTAGATTCTAGACTAGCACCAATTCTACATCTCTTGATCTATAAATCTAGATCTCTAGATTTAGATTAGATCAGTGGGAAGGTTTGGTAGGCCCACCTCACCGACTCAGTAGTACAAAATTTTCAACTTACGACGATCAAACCATGTGTCATCGTAAACACTTTCATACTCATGAGGCTGCGTAAAATCCACAAACTGCGGTGCATCAAATTCCCATTTCTTGTCCATGTTATCTATGCTATTTAAAAGTTCTTAAACTAAAATATATCGATATTTTTAAAACTAAATAAAGGAAAACACTAGTTCGCCATTTGCTAAGCAAATTTCAATCTGCCCGCACATATGAGTTGGCCAATCGGAGCCCTTGGGCAAAGGTCATGATGGATAATCTTGAATTTGATTTGTTAAAAATAAGTGTGTTTGTTATTTATTTTTTATCATTCAGTGTGTATTATGTATTATATGTTTGTCTTTATAAATAGGAAAAGCCTAAAAGACATTTAATATTGGCATATATCTATCAGTCTAAAATAAATAAACTCTGATTACATATTGTGCATGACTACAATAATAAGGCTCCTCGTTAAGGTTGACAATGGTTATGGTCCACAATATTATGTGCCATGTTGTAATCCTCGGCTGGCCCTCCCAATTTTATTTTTATGTTTGTATGTGTTGGCCTAGGTTATAATTTTTTTTAAAATTATTATCCTAATTTAAAATCGAAATTCCAATACAAAAGTTAACACAGGATTCATGCTCTAAAACTGAAATCTAACCCACCGCATTCTCTATTGTCCAAACCAAACTTAAATGAATGGCCGTAACTTGGGAGAGGGGTGGCGGGGGGGGGGGGCATCAAAACGGGATACATTTTTTAAAAAAAACATTGTGTTTATCACCTTTTGTATCAAAGACCTGGGGGGGGGTGTCCCCCACCGTCCTAAAATGGTGTGAGCTTATTGCGGTGTTCCATAAGTCGGGAAAAAATTCAGCTCATAGCAAAGAAACCACTTGTACAAATATATTGTCTAAGCAAATGCGAAAAAATGCTTTTCCTTCCACTCGCATGTATTTCGGTGTTAGTAAACCACTCAAGTAATAGTTACTAAGTGCTAAAACGTTGCAGGACAGCTTTTACTTAAATGTAGAGTGTTAATAACCAGAGTTTCTTCCCTGCACCTCTTGGGTCGCATGTACCACCAAAGATCTGGGGTAGCCTTCATGATCGCCACTGTTCAGTGGAGAAAGACTTGTTTGTTTCCAGCCATCCCCTACTTCACCTGCTACCACCTCCCACGACGAGGACGTAGGGTTGGGATTTGGGAGGCGCTAAAATATTAAAAACAATAATTAAATTTCGGCTTAGGCCTGTCCTAAGCTCCATCACGACTAGTCAAGATAGAGTTCAATCATACGAGTGCTCGTCGCTCGAAGGGCGCCGAAGAAAGTGAGTTTTTAGTTTGACATAAGTTGGCTATGGCGCACGAAGTTTGGCTTACATTCATGAGACACCAACCCAAACAAAGGCTACATTCTCTTTCGGCACCACCGAAAACGTCAAGCACTTAAGCTTTCTGCTCGCAGATCTTGAAATCATGGTTTTGGTCTCAAATTCCGAAGGAACCTATTCACCACCGGCGCAGTAGTGCAGTATTCAGCTTATTTCTTGGTGCTCTGATGAGGTCAGTTGTAGAAGTGGTTGGGAGTCGAGTCCGCACTAACTATTCTGTTTGATAAGATACCAGTCGAGGTGCCAAGGTCGTCTGTAGTTATCAAAGAGATGTTCTACCGTGCTGCCTGACAGGTCAAACCACACTCAGGCTCTACACATTCCTCGTCAGGCGTCTGGGGTCGGACCAACACCTAGGGGAACTCACTCAATTGTCACCGAGGTAGTTCCAACGGTCCCCAACTTAAGGCCAAAGTAAAAGTATGTCCATATTTATCTTGTCGTTTCCTTATCAAGGCGCGGACGGCCGAGAAATGTATTTCCTTCCTGGTTTTTGTTTTACAAACACGCCAGTGACGTCAGAGAAACTTGGAGATATCTTGAAAGTTATTTCGGTCATATAAATCAGATATATCACAGAAATGAGACAGCGTATGTATAACTGGGACTACAATTACTAAAACAAGTTAATTAAAAAAGTCTAGTGACATTTATGCGCAATTTCCTTATGTTATCTAAAAATAGCTCTGACGTATAATGCTGGGATGCGTTCAAGCTAGAAGAACGATCGGTTTGTAGGTGTTTTTGTAATTTTAAAATTTGTGACCAAACGAGAGGATATTTTTGAAAACTTTCTTCGGCAATATTGTTCTAAATTATGGCAGGAATCTATTGGTACATGTTTCAAGTCGCTAAGTTGTCTGGTTTCTGAGATATGGGCCAAAAACTGCATTTTTTCGAGGTTTTTTGGCTTTTCCGGGAAATACATGAAAGAAACCCGGAATTTTTATGGCCTATGCTTATTCTCGTAACTTGCTTAACATAATTGCTTTTGGAACTAGTCATCGATATTGCTTCGTTGAGGAGGAGATACGACTTAAAGCCCGGACACACATTCATCCATACATTCATTCATTCATTCATTCATCCATCCATTCCCAGAAATGACGCGTTAATAAACGCAATTCTCCAGAATGGAAATTGCGCTAAAAATACACAAGAAATGGACCTTGTAATTTCAGAGAGTAGTTCTTGCCCGCAATTTGGTAGCTGCCATGACGGTGTTGTTTTCCTTCAATGATACGATCTCCTGCCCGACCACACCGTCCCCACACGGCCAATGATGACCTGTGGTCTCTTGACCGACCACACCGTCCCCACACGGCCAATGATGACCTGTGGTCTCTTGACCGACCACACCGTCCCCACACGGCCAATGATGACCTGTGGTCTCTTGACCGACCACACCGTCCCCACACGGCCAATGATGACCTGTGGTCTCTTGACCGACCACACCGTCCCCACACGGCCAATGATGACCTGTGGTCTCTTGACCGACCACACCGTCCCCACACGGCCAATGATCACCTACGGCCTCCTCCCCAGGAGTATTATCACCAACTCCTCAATGTTATGGCAAATGGTTGAAAGATGTGGTAATGCATAAAATACATACTTTCATGTACATAGGCTATATATATATATATATATATATATATATATATATATATATATATATATATATATATATATATATATATATATATATATATATATACATATATATATATATATATACATATACATATATATACATGTATATATATATATATATATATATATATATATATATATATATATATATATATATATATATGTATATGTATATGTATATATATATATATATATATATATATATATATATATATATATATATATATACATATATATATATATATATACATGTATATATATGTATATGTATATATATATATATGTATATATATATATATATATATATATATATATATATATATATATATATATATATATATATCCTTAAATTGATTAAATTTCACTGCTCTAAAGATGTTTACTGAAATGTTTCTCGAATTTTTGCGGTTTAATTTGAGGACTTGCGATAGTATGGGTTATGACAACAGAAAATATATTACAATTTGATCTTTTCTTATTTTAGGCCGGAAATTTCTATTTACTTGTATTAATTGCTGAGTAGTGTGTAAAAGGATTAAGATACAAGCTTATTAAAAACAATACTAATATAAAAGTATTTAATGAATGTAAAGACGAAAAAATATTTTCTTGTGAACCTTTTCCTTTTTTAAGATGATTAGAACCACGATATGCGGTTGTTTTTTTTTTTTATTTCTCTTAGGAAATATTTCGTATATATTATTTTTTTTTAATCTTTTCAGCTCCTCTATATTTCCTATGTTTATTATTTTATACTATTAATATGTAATTAAACTTTAAACTCCTGATTATAATTAAATAATTAAAATACTAAATGAGCTACACGATCTTCTCCAGGCGGACGTCCGGGTAGTACATCATCTTCTTTAGACGCGCTTCCAGCAACTGCTTTAGCTGAATGCGTCGTGTATAGGCTAGTCTAAAACAATTAAATTTCACAACTCAGGGTCACAACATGGGTCTTTAAGAGGGAGGGGGGCAGTCAAAACATGGTAAATAAATTTTTCTTTGTTTTTTTTAATTCATTCACCAACTTGGCTGATCCCATTGTACTTATCTTTAATGGCTGAGTAGTTGTCTCCGTTGTTTACAATATTCTTTTACTTTCTGGTCATCATCATTCCTATGTGGCCCCTGGGGAGTAAAGGGCTGCAACCACACATCTCCATCGGACTCGGTTTTGGGCTGCCCCCTTTATCTGTGCCCATGTGTGCCCAGCTGCTTTAGCCTCTTCTTCAACCGTTCTTCTCCATGTCTTCCTTGGCCGGCCCACCCTCCTTTTTCCCCTGGGGATTCCAGTATAAAGTATGCCTTGCGATGTTTTCTTTTTCCTTTCTTAATGTGTGTCCGATCCATCCCCATTTTCGGGCCTTGACACATGTCTCTATTGGCTGTTGCTTTAAAGTTCGCCACAGGTCTTTGATATTTTGTCTGGCCATTTTAAGTATATGTCGTAAGCATTTGTTTACGAATGCCTGTAGCTTATCAGTATTTGTCTTCGTGACCCTCCAAGTGTCCGAGCCATAGAGCAGCACTGCTTTGACATTTGAGTTGAAAATCCCAATTTTGCTCCGGAGCGACAGGGCCGTGGACCTCCACATCGGGCGCAGTGAGTTGAAGGCCCATCTAGCCTTGTTGATACAACATTTTATGTCCTCGTCTGCTCCCCCGTCCTTATTGATCACGCTTCCCAGATATGTGAATGTGTTTGTTTCACGTAAATCTTCTCCATTTAGCTGTATGGGCAGGTCCTGGCTGATTGATTTTGATGACCTATGTTTTATTTTTATTGATTTTAGTCCAACTTTGGAGACAGCCGATTTAGTTTGGCTTGCGTATGTTGATGCTTGTGAGATAGTAGGCAGATGTCATCGGCAAAATCAAGATCCTCCAGCCTTTTGGTGAAACTCCACTGGATTCCTGTGTCGTTTTTTTGTAGTTTTCAGCATGATCCAATCGATTACCATCAAGAATATCATTGGCGATAGCATACATCCCTGTCTTACTCCCGTCGTCACGTGAATGGTTTTGTTAGTTTTCCCTTGTGTATTACCTGACTGGTGGAGTCTTCATATAGTTTCTGTGTGATAGATATACATTTTTTGGGTATTCCATAGTGGCTCATTAACTTCCAGATAGCATCTCTATTCACACTGTCAAACGCCTTTTCAAAGTCAACAAAAGTCATGTATAAGGGGGATTGCCACTCAAGGGACTGTTCGATAATGATGCTTTTTCTGCACTAAACTTTCACAACAGTTAAGCTACTGATTTTTCTAGACGTAGAAAACACCAACTGTGCAAGACTCAGATATTCATGATTGACAACCAAAAAGGATATTAATATGCGTTTTTTTATCCTCTTATTGTAGTAATATAAATATTCATAATTCTATACCATCCGAAACTGTCTCTTTTATTACATGGAAATCAATATTGATCCTAACACACATTTCAACAGTCTTCAATAGAACGCTGTGTCTTGTTCGTATTGATTGATAGATTCTTCAGTGCAAAGCGGACGAGGTCATCACAGAATCTATAACTTAAGCTACATTTACGCGGCTTATATTTTTCTGCTTGAATTTTAATATCACTCACGTTTTTGACAAGAAACATTGTTACCAAGTTCTGACTGGTGTATGTTTTGTTTCTGAACCAGCATTTTAAAAAATCACAGCAGTTTGTTTCAGAAATAAAATATTTGTTTCATGTTTTCTGTTATTACACTAAAATAGGTTATCTAATAGAGTAAAATGTTCATCTACGATCAACGTATCCTAGAGTTGTCTATTTAGGGCTACAGCACATGACATATGGTTCACTGAGTTGTTACAGTGTATGGGGTGATTGTATGTTGGCACCGGGCCTGGTCAACCCATATTTTGTGATGACTGTTGTACAGCGGAGAAGAAGACGAGGTTGAGGTCTGCGCTAAATCCGAACTTAAAGCAACAGGATAATTATGTAAAGTGAGGTAAGTTCCCCTTACAGACCTAACCATCAATAGGACGGGACATATAAAGTAGAGGTCATGGTTTTTTTTTACTTTTTTAATCTGTTTAACGTGAGTCAGGTAGGCCTACTCATCACTGCTGGTTGGACTGTGGGATATCTTGCATACAAGAATCCGGGTTGAGATTCGAACCGAACTTGAGTTTTTCGGGTTAGCAGTCGAGCGCTCAACCATCCAACCATGCCGTACCATCAACAGGACGGTTTAAGGAAATCACAGAATGTATCAAGTCATGATAATCCACCACCCCTCCATATATATATATATATATATATATATATATATATATATATATATATATATATATATATATATATATATATATGTATATATATATGTATATATATATATATATATATGTATATATATATATATATATATATATATATATATATATATATATATATATATATATATATATATATATATATATATATATATATATATATATACTTTTGAAAAGTGCAACTCTGCGGTATACGATCACGATGACCCTACTGTCAGGGCAAGCTGTTCTTTAAAGATAAACGAATGCTATCAAGAAATTATTATCACTTTCAAAGTTTAGACAGGGCTTGCATTCATGGCAGTGCAGAGTATTATACAGTTTGAACACAAAAAATTATATATAGACATTGTATGCCCGGTGGCCACATTTAGTGTCGACCTCGCTCTTCTTAGAGTTCAAATAAGAGTTTAAAATAACTAACGCTCGTTCTATTCTGGTCTAATGATTTTATTTATTTATTTATTTTTTGTAAAATTTCAGCAGAAAATAAAAGAGGCACTAAACGCAGTATTTTTCACAGAGGTCCATGAATATAAAAGCTAGCTTTTTAAAATTATATCTTCGCATTAAAGTTCATTATTGTGACGATCAATTAGAAGTTTGTAAAAATGTATCCTAGACATAGAATAAAACAAACATAAAAATCCCTTATAGCAACAAACGTTTAAATGCACTAAAATAAGAAAATAAAACTAATTAAAACTAATTGCTCTCTTCAATAAAAAGCTTTTTGTCGCTAAAATATGTAAAGATCGCATAAGCGAATAAAGCTTGTATTAAACAAAGAAAGTTAGTTTTATTTTCTTATTATCAGTGCATTTAAAAGCTTGTTGCTGTAATGTCTTTTATGTTTGTTTTATTTTCTACTTTTTAGGGATTCCAAATATATGAAGTCGATACGACTAAAAATGTTTGCTTCAAAACACCACCAGTAGCTCGCGATATCTAAAAATCGATTATCTGCCCCGTGAATGCAGCCGACCGTGACCACAATTTACAAACATCATCAAGCTGATATAGTGAAGGATAGTTCTGAATCTTACTACACCCCCCCCCCTTAGTTTCAAATCATTTGATTAATTTTGAAAGACTAATTAAATATCTAATTAATTTTTTAATAGATAGACGTGTATTGTAATCGAAGTGGAACGTATCTGGAAAGTTTGAACGAAATCGCTGCATTAGAGGTGGGTCAAAATAACGTTACAAGATTCGCCACGAACCCACAAACAAACAAACATACGTTGCGAACTAAAAAAAAAAAGCTTGTAAAAATGCGAGACTAATATTGCTCAAGCGCTGTGATCAAAGCTTATGACAAAAACACCAAGCTCAACACATTTTTAAAATAAGAACATAGGAAGCATTGTTCCAAACCCATGATTCATTGAACGATATTTTTTTCGTAGTTTTGGTTGAAATGGCAATTCGACTGTTGCTTACTCATGCACACACAAACACACACACACACACACATACACACCACCCCCATCTCAAGACACTCACCCTTACACACAAACACACACACACAGAGAACGGGAGGGAGAAAGATGTACATGACGTGTTTTTTCTACATAGGTTTTAAAAATGTGATGCAGTCAAAGGCGGACACTATAAAAATCTTTTACATTAAAAACAACAGACACCCACTGACCATAAACAATGTTGAAAAAAATACTTTCTAAAACTACGTTTTAAATTTTAAATTGTAAAAGCGTACACGATTTCCGCTGTAACATCGTATGTAGGTTTATCGCATTAAATATATATATATATATATATATATATATATATATATATATATATATATATATATATATATATATATATATATATGTAAATGATTTTAAAAATTCCTTTCTGAACTATTTTGCAGCCTCGCCACTGTATACCAATATCCCGCACCTACGTGGCGACCTCTGCGGCGTTGCGCGCTTCCCAACGCGGGGTTCTGGGTCCCGTGTGAAGCCAAGCATGCGTTGCTCAGCGCGTTCCCCAACCTGGGTTATGGTCTGACGATAAGCATGAAAAAAAAGCAACAGTCTAGCGCTTTGAACTTAGCTATAAAGATACAATTTTTTTGTTTTTAAGAAGATAATCCTTACTCTGAATGAATTAAAATTTTAATCCAGCTCGTTAGGAAAGCACTTGGGACAATAGCGTCACTCTGTCGAGGGGGGAATTCAGCCCGTAGAGTTTTTGTGATGTGGCTGTGTACTTCGATAAAGAAAAGTGAAAGAAATCTTGTTAATTTGGTTTTCCTTTTATGAAAAGTATTGTATTATAATTCAAATAAATTCTGAAAGATAACTAAAATGGCGGATAAAAAACAAAACAAAATGATGTTGCTGCTGTGTGTAGTAGGAGTTTCTTTTGTTTCCTGTGACGTATTCACCTCCATGGCTAGGATCAAGGACATGGTTATCAACGAACTTCAAATTTTAAACAAAATCAAATCAGCGGTGCCTGAATTGATCTCACCAGAGCACAGGGACCTATACAAGTACGTGATTTTAGTTTGAATTTACTTTTAGAGCAACGGGGTGGTATCGAAATTAAGTGCACCAAGATAAAATTAAATTTTGGTTACCATAAACTTCTAATCCCTTTGACCTCTCGGGGTCACAATAAATTTTGAATCGTCTTGACCTATTAGCCTCCCCTTGTATGAGTGTTACAATAAATTTTGAGTCACTATTCTTCTCATTTATCTTTGAGAACTGAAGGATCGGTAGTTTTATTCTGGCACTAAAAATGTCCGCTACAGATAGAAGGCTATTCCCCCGGAACACAATCGTAATCAATTCCTGTACGAAACAAATTTTTGTTTCATTTTGGTCTGGAATTGACTTATCAATATGTGGCCTATATAGCCATATTCTCAGCCTATGTCGCTGCAGTTTTAAACCTGTTTTACTTTACTGTAGGTATAAGCTGGCATTTATGAAAGAAAGCAGATAAGTTTTATTTAATTTTGTTTTATTACTTCATCTGTGTGGATTCCATGATAGTGTATGTGGCTTACTACAAGCGATAAAACTACCCACTTGTGGCTTAATTAGTGATTAGTGTGGCTGCAGCTATTCGTAATATTTACTCATCTTCACGTCTCTACACTAAACACGACTCACTATTAACTGTACAAACTCACTATTATCTGTACAAGAATAAAACTACCAAAAATGTTTGACGCAGCTGTATTTATATTCAAGTTTTTATAAGCGAAGAATAGAAGAGATCCAGGGGCGGAATCTAACACAAGAGCTGGAGAGGCTGAACCACCCAAATGGGGCCTATTACATTATACAGGAATACGCCATGAGCTACCAGCCGTTGAGACAGGCCGTGATAGGTAGGCCTAGTTATATATAGATACATATAAGGCTCTCTTAAAGCAGAAAGTTAATACTAGACTATTGCACTATTGCAACCCAGCAAGTATCGGGACTACCCAATGCTAGGTGTTGTTTCTTATTGGTGTTAAGAATCTTGGTTTTTATAATTTAAACAAAATTCAGTTTTAGTTACAGCTAATTTCACACTAAAGACATGTTGTTGTTTTTTTTTTTTAAATCTCATTTTGACCATAACCGTTGCCATAGTACTATCCCCCACACTAACCCTTACACTATCCCTAATTTTAACTGTAGGCTTTAGTCTAATTTTGGAATTACTCCAGAATTGAACCATAAACCTAACCATGACCCTAACAATGTTCCTGATAAGAAGAACCGCGATACGATACTGTAGTTTTGACCAACCAAAAATTGTGTTCTAATACTGACAATGTTGTCACCATTACTCGTTGGACAGCTTCAGGTAAACCCAATGCTCTAACGGCCATGGCAGAGATAGCAGACGACGAAGACGTGAGTGGCGCCCAGGCGTCACTTCTGCGACTTCAGGTACTGTATGACGTCACTCTCCTAGCTAAAACAGCAAAGAGAATTTTTTTTTAAAAAAAAGATAGAAAGCAATGTTATACGTTAACAGTTTCGAGAAAGTCGGATTTCAACTTAGGTAGATCTAAATATTACCTTTAATATATTTTTAAAAAATTTTATTTTCCTATTTTTTATGAGAATATCTGTACATTTTAGATTGACGTATTGCATTACGGCTGTGGTTAAGTTTAGGGTTAAGGTCTTTTATTTCAGGAAGTTTTTACACTCAACCCTGAAGACATGATCAAGGGAAACTACCTTAAATACAAGGGCCCAGCACTCAACTCCACCGATTGTTACTTCGTAGGGAAAAGAGCTTTTGAAAGTAAGAAAAATCCGATGTTATTTTTAGCAATTTCCTTACTTAATTCGCACTTATATATTTTTTTTGAAAGTTTTTTCTTGAATAGAGTTTAAAAATAGTTTCACTGTCTAACCGTGTAACAAAGCTGAATACACGGCAAGTGTTGATGATTGATTGACTTGACAAAGTAACAGTTTGAGATTTTTTTTTAAATCAAAGAAAGAAATAAAGTTGTATCGGCATTCATTGATTTGGCTGTGGCATTTCGCACGTTTCAAAAAGTAACAGATGTTATCGATAGGCTTGTTTTCGCATCAAGCAGTCGAGAATTAGCTTCGATCGTCACGTGACTAACGTTCAATACCTCGGCAATCTACGGAGCGAGGCGAGAGGTAACGCCCACTTGAACAGCGTCAACACAACAGGTGGTTGTTTTTATTGGAAGGTGAAGCAGAGTTTATAAAACCTGTTCAAGGTAAACAGGGTGATTAGCTGTGTGTAGCTAGCCCTGCTTGACCTGCTTTGTACAGCCAGGGTTAGCTGTGGGTGGCCAGTTTTTTTTTTTGTGGCCATATATATGTGGCCAGCACTAGATTGCCAGATTTTTGTGGCCAGCTTTTTGTGCCCAGCTGTGTGTTATTAGCTCCGATGTTCTTGCGACGGGGTGAGAAATATCCGCTAGACTTGGACTTCCCTCTATTCAATGCATGTTTATTATAAACGTCAGTCTTTGGCTACACCAGCCACTATCTAGTCACACACATACACACATACACACATACAGATATATATATATATATATATATATATATATATATATATATATATATATATATATATATATATATATATATATATATATATATATATATATATATATATATTTATTTATTTATTTATTTATATTTATTTATATATATATATATATATATATATATATATATATATATATATATATATATATATATATATATATATATATCCACTCATGTGCACTGTATGTATCAAATTTTAGCGAATCAAGTATTAGCTTATGGTAATGGCTGTTGAATGCATTATTAAATCAGAAACTTGACCTGGAATCACTAGGTGTCAACCAGTGCGGTAGTTAAGGTAGTTATTCCCCCCTCCTCCCCACCTTAAAGGTTGTTTTTTTTTCCACAAAGGCCATTAGAGTTATGAAACCAACAAAATAAAGAAATGTAAAATAACGACTGGCTTGATAGCGTGCTTTAAAGAACGTAATGACATAATGTTTCTTTAATAAAATAATGAATTTAGAAAAATAAATAACGTATTACAATTTGATTTAGTTATGTTGAAAACTGAATGTTAGGTCTAGATTTGTTTATTGATTAATGTAAACATTGCAGTTTGATCGTAAGTGATTGTGTATAGGCTTACATCTGTCGTGTAAAATGATAATCTGGTATGAAAATAAAATCTGATCCAGTCGGTAAATACCACATGGGAGAGAAGTGGCTGACTATTGCTTTAGAGCTGAAGAAGAAAGAAAGAAAACCCGACCCTAATGTCCAGGTGCCCACGAACTTTGGCCAGGTGGGCGGTGAGGCTCCCAAAGACGACCCGGCCCCAGAGGCATGGATCAGGGGTTTACTGGGGAGGACATTGCTCCGAGTGAGTCACGCTTTTATTGAAAGCCTCACACTAACTCAGTGTTTTATTGGAAGGTTATTAGAAAAAATTAATAGCTATTTGTTTCTTATCATTTCAACTTTCTATATTTTTTAAGTTTTAGCATGGAACTAGTTATTAGTCATTACATTGGCCAAGTTATCATAATTTGTACCTGCCCAGACTTCACTTTATACAATGATTGATTGAAATTGACAACCGTGCAACATATATAAGATTTGTAGAGGTCAATAAACGTCAATCTTGGGGCTTAAGTCATTTCTCAATTGTATCGAATACAATTTTTTTTAATTTAGTTGTTTTCATTGCAAACAATGGCAGGCATTTTTGTTAAGATTATTTGCATTACATTTTGTGACAGGTCGGGGAGATCGAGAGAGCGAGAGAACTCTACAGGACTCTGACACCGGCAGGTAACTCTAACATTTCACGCGTGTTTTGTCCCCTTCCACGTGAACGGTTTTAGAATCGTTGGATTAAAATAAGTCAGGGAATTTAGCAACGGCTAAGGATGTATTTTTTGTTCACGGGGCTGACGTCAAAACATATGCATTTAATCTGCTCAGCAACATGTTTCAACATAAGTATCTCCTGGAGTAGTATCATGAGCTTACAGTTACACGTACGCACAAATACATTTAAAACCATTCATATATCAAAATGTATCCACATATATTTTTATGTATGTACGTGTATTCGATATATAAAGATATATTTATATTGATATAGTTATGCATGTACGTAATAAAATTATATACATACATATATATATATATATATATATATATATATATATATATATATGTATATATATATATATATATATATATATATATATATATATATATATATATATATATATATACATATATATATATATATATATATATATCTTATATATATATATATATCTTATATATATATATATATATATATATATATATATATATATATATATATATATATATATATATATATATATATATATATATATATATATATATATATATGTGTGTGTTTGTGTGTTTGTGTGTGTGTGTGTGTGTGTGTGTGGTTGTGGCTACTAAGTTTCGCCGAGTAACTGAGCTTTGCCAATGCTGAAGCCTCTGTATACGCAAATATGTGTGTCTGTGTGTGTGTATGTGTGTGTGACACTACAGAGGCTACGTTTTTACGTCATTGGAACATACCAGTAACAGCGAGGCCTGGAGGTCACCGTGCCGAGATATCCGAAAGGTGCGAGAGTGACATTGCCCTTCTACGTACTACCAATCGTCCAATAAATGTCCAAAGAAAGGCGACATGTAATCCTAAGCTTGTCCCTTGCGTGTCTCTCGCCTACAGATCACGCCTTTGGGGACGTCTACTCCTTTGGGCAGGAGCTGCAGAACGTCCCGAGGGTGGAGTCCGACAACACCAGCAAAGACCTGAAGGATTTTTATCGACTTTGTTCGCTCCAGAGTAAAACTGTTGGAGTAAGCTCTTATATTCAACGTCTTACTTATCTGTGATAAATTTCTGTATCCGTTATTGCAGTTTTCAAAACCAAAGATGGGGGGGGTCTATAAATCACGTCATGTGCATGGATTAGGGGTGATGGGATATTGCGAGGATGGGGTACAATAGAGCGTTTTCAAGATATGTGCCACAGAAAATATTCTTTAGTCCTGTAGGGGATGAAAACGTAAGAAGCAATTGCTAATGGGATGGATTCAAAGTCACATTTCGAGGAATTGGGGATGGCAGTGGGTTACGAGGTAAAATAGCTTACGTTGAATATGTCATTGACGATTGTAGTTTATTCTTTCCCTGATTTAAAGTAGCACTGTAATTCTGGCAACTGATAATGTAAAGATTTGTTTGGTTCTCCCAGAAATTCGCAGGTGACCCCCGCCTTAAGTGCCGATACGTGTCTGTTTACTTGCCCTACTTCCGGTTTAACGAAGAAATCGTCTCCAACTTGCCGTACGTCAGTCTTTTCTACGAGGTCATCAGCAACAGAGAAGCAGACGCCATTAAACAGGAAGCGATATCGAAAGTAAGAACCGTGTGTGTGTGGGGGGGGGGGGGGGTGGGGGGGTCTGAATTGGAAGACAGAATGGTGTGGTAAGAGACGATTCTCATTTAATCGTATATGAACATTATTTTAGCTGGTCGAAAGAATTCGCAGGAACATAAAAAATTATAATTGGTGAATAAATTTGAAATAAATGTACAAGTAAAATAATCTTAAAATAAAATTGACAAAAATATTTTTTCAGATGTTTCGTGGTGGTATTGTTGGCAGTTCTGGGCACCTTATTTCAGCAGTTCGTACCAGCCACATGTGAGCTCTAGTTACCATCTTTAATGGGCTAACAATAGGTCAGCGGCGCAACTATAACACTTGCGCTCAATCTCGACGGTGGATATAACCACCGCATTTACTTATGACATAGGAGGAAGCTTACTTCATCACCCATGCCCATATGCAGATCTAATGAGTGCCCCCTCCCCTACATATCATACCGAAATAATTTAACAAAATATAAAAGTAGAAACTAGTTTTTTTATTTATTACAATTAATTCATTTTTTGTTATATGTAATTGATTACTTCTTAATAATGAAAATTAAATTACCAGATCGATTGCGTGTATGTGTGCATGTGTGTATGTATGTGTGTGTGGTGTATTTATAAGTACCTATATATTATATACCCTCAAAAATGAAGCTAAAGCCACAGGTGTCTTTACATAAAAGAACACGTTGAAATTACTATATTTAGCTCACAAGCTTTAGACGAGGAGTCCATGACAAAAAGTCATATTTCCAGCTACTTAAGTATCGCTGTTTGACTTGCAAAATAGCTAACGCTTGAAAAATAATTGTATTCAAATTAAACAGAGCATTCATTGAAGACAGAGAATCGAAAGTTGCCAAATTTATTTCCAAGAGGATCAACTTGTTGACCAAATTAGAAACAAAAATTAACGATAAAGGTTTCCATGGAGACCATCAAAGTGCAGCAGAACCGTTACAAGTAGGTGGAAAATGTTAACGTCCCATGGGTGGTTGTGGGTAGTGGGTAGGGGGTAGGGGTGTGGGGGGCGGTTGTGGGTAGGGGGTGTGGGGGTGGTTGCGGGTAGGGGTGTGGGAGGTTTATTTGTGGGTAGCCGGTGTGGGGGTGGTTGTGGGTAGGGGGTGTGGGGGCGGTTGTGGGTAGGGGGTGTGGGGGCGGTTGTGGGTAGGGGGTGTGGGTGCGTTGATTGTGGGTAGAGGGTGTGGGGGTGGTTGTGGGTAGGGTGTGAGGGTGGTTTTTTGTGGGTAGCCGGTGTGGGGTGGTTGTGGGTAGGGGGTGTGGGTGGGTTGGTTATGGGTAGATGGTTTCGGGGGTGGCTATTGTTGAGGTGGTTGTGGGTAGGATGCTTGAGGTTAGAGGGTAAGATGGTTATGGGTAGGGGGTTGTGGGTAAGATACTTGTGGGTTCGGTGGTTGTGGGTAGGGGGTTAGAGGGTAAGATGGTTATGGGTAGGGGTTGGGTGGTTGTGGATAGTAGAAAAAACTGTGAAAAGGAGCTTAAGTGTAGTATTCGCACAGCAATGTTAAAGGTTTTCAGATTGTTATAATACGATATCCTGATATCTTTTAACTCGATACATTATTACAACATTTATAGAACTACTCTACTACAACCGTCCCAAAATGCAACACCAGGTCTCTGTACCTGGTTCTTACAGCATTTAAGAAATCTAACTGATCCCGTATTGATTGTACTGAGTAAATAGGCCAGGTGTACACTATGATTGTACCGAGTAAAAAGGCCAGGTGTGCACTATGAGCAAATAACAAAGCCCATTGGTAGTTTAAAATGTATAACATTTAAGCTACATCCGCTTTCTTAATACATAAGTACTTTATCTAGATTTCTTTTTTTTTTAATGTGCAAACAGTAGAACTCAAAAGTTATCGAAAAATCAGGCAGTTCGCAGGGCTATCGTATACCTGAAAATTTTAAATTTTTCAGCACTAATCTTTCACACATTGCGTATTTTGTTGTTTAATTATTTTTTTTACATCATCACAATTACAACTAACTACTTAATTTACTTTAAATGCTTATACAGTTTATCTGAGAGCACCTTACAACTTAAAACACTATTCTCTTTTTGCCTCAGGTCGTCAACTATGGACTTGGCGGCCATTATTCTATACACATGGATCACTACGAGGTAAAGCGAGAATGGAGGCATGAATTGGTGACATACAATTTACAATACTTATTTTATAGTTCTATATATAGTGCAGATGCATTCGTGTAACGGAACAGACAGAAAAAGAAAAAAATATATACAAACATGTAAACAAACTTAAGTTGGGCTACAAGTTAAGGCTACAAAGCTCCAATTCCTGTAACATGGGGCTGGGGAGGGCGGAGAAAAAAGGTGGTCATCCACAATATCTTGCTAGTCACCCACAATATCTTGCTGCTTTCGTCACCCACAATACCTTGCCACTTTTGTCGCCCACAATACCTTGCTAGTCACCCACAATATCTTGCAACTTCTGTCACCCACAATATCTTGCTAATAAATCAGCCAGCCGTAGCTTTGTTTTTGTGCCTACAGCCTTTTATCGTTATGCCATCTGTTCATTAATCTTAGTATTCTGGCGAAACCAGTTAGCTATTTCTTCTCCCACTTATGTTACTGTTTGAATTTACCAATTGTCTATCTATACAACTGACCCATAATACTAAACCTTGCTGCTTTGACCACTTGTCTCCCTGTCATACTAAATGATGTTAGGTTAACGAGTTTTCTCACTATAATACTAAATCATACTGCATTAACCAGTTCTCTCCCAACCATACTGTATTAACCAGTTCTCTCCCAACCATACTGTATTAACCAGTTCTCTCCCAACCATACCGTATTAACCAATTCTCTCCCAACCACACCGTACTAACCAGTTCTCTCCCAACCATACTGTACTACCCAGTTCTCTCCCAACCATACTGTACTAACCACAGTAACCAGTTATCTCCCAACCATACTGTATTAACCAGTTCTCTCCCAACCACACCGTACTAACCAGTTCTCTCCCAACCATACTGTACTAACCACAGTAACCAGTTCTCTCCCAACCTTACTGTACTAACCACAGTAACCAGTTATCTCCCAACCCTACTGTACTAACCAGTTCTCTCCCAACCATACTGTACTAACCAGTTCTCTCCCAACCATACTGTACTAACCAGTTCTCTCCCAACCATACTGTACTAACCACAGTAACCAGTTATCTCCCAACCATACTGTACTAACCACAGTAACAAGTTCTCTCCCAACCATACTGTACTAACCACAGTAACCAGTTATCTCCCAACCATACTGTACTAACCAGTTCTCTCCCAACCATACTGTACTAACCAGTTCTCTCCCAACCATACTGTACTAACCACAGTAACCAGTTATCTCCCAACCATACTGTACTAACCACAGTAACCAGTTATCTCCCAACCATACTGTACTAACCACAGTAACCAGTTATCTCCCAACCATACTGTACTAACCAGTTATCTCCCCCCCCCCCCCATAATTCTGGACCACATTTGAGATTAAATTTATTTCTGTATTTTTTTTCCCAAATTGTAGAGCAGAACGACGGATACCTCAAGAATTCTCGATTATTCTGGAAACAGAATGGCGACATTTTTAATTTATGTAAGTAGTTCAGTACTTTTAAACGTAGGCTATTGAAGTAATTTGTATTTGTAAGTATTTCAGTATTAAGCTTAAAACAGCTGCTTGAATAATATGGTCCTTGGAGAACGGTTGTAAATGAAGTCGCGCAATTTTAGCTTATGTTTACTTCTACCCCCTAACCCTGAGCGTCACAAAAGTCCAGATAACCCGACACCCCCGTCTATTCACACACAAAAAAAGTTAACTTCAGGCTCCGTAATACTGACAAATTATAAACAATATATTTTAAGATATACAATACGCTGTCTCGTAAACTTCATCCAACGTAATTCATCTTCAACAAAAGGCGCACTTCTCATCACCAATTACGTTGTCACAAAAAGACCCCCCCCCCCTTCCATGGGGAGTGACGCCAACCCCAAGCTATTAGAGATCATGTAATTTGTTTGTCCTGTCAGCGACAAAGTGGCCTTTTCTCTATGAACAATATGCTACAATGAACTCAATGAAACGCAAAAATTAGAATTAAAAAAAAATAATCTAAAAATTGTTTCTGTGTATACATTTCATTATTTATTCATTTTAATTTCGTATCCTTCATTTTTTACTTTCTCGTATATACGAAGTATAGAGAAAGTATTGTAATCGTGCACAAAAATCACTTGAAATTTTAACAATTTTCACCGTATTACACCTCAGTCCTTCATCACATCCGAAGTATAGAGGACTTATTTTAATCGGGCAAAAATTATCAATCCAGATGTATCAAAATTAAGAGGTTTTGTGCGTAATCCAGTCTGAAAAACTGGGCTTTGCAACTCTGTCCGTATGTCTGTGTGTCTGTGTGTGTGTGTCTGTCCGTGTGTAAACACGATAACTTGAGCACCGTTACAGCTAGGTTGATGAAATTTCATATATAAGTATTTTATCAAAATCGTAGAGCCGTGTCAACTTTTGAGCGATTTCCGATAACCGGAAGTGGTACTTTTTCTACTTTGAATTTTTCAAAAGCCTATAACTTGAGTATTATTTCACACAGATAAATGAAATTTCACATGTAAGTAAAAGATTTAATTCTCTACCTTCTATTAAATTTTGAGTAATTTCCGTTGCCCGGAAGTACTAATTTACGCTACTTCCGATTTCTCAAAAAACTAATGTAAATTTTTAAAGTACTAATAATATTGCGCACTAGTATGCAATTTTTATTTGGCGTTCACTTGGTGTGCAATTAATTTGTCTACGAGGTTTTATTCTATTTTTAAAACTTTAAGTGTTTAAAATGGATTAAAAATCATGTCTATAGCCCGAGTTCCCATCCCCTGTTGTTTTATATAAGAATATTTCAGTTAGATAAATGAAATTTAACATGTAAGTAAAAGATCTAATTCTCTACCTTCTGTTAAATTTTGAGTAATTTCCATTGACCGGAAGGGGTAATTTACGCTACTTCCGATTTCTCCAAAAACTAATGTTAATTTTTAAAGTACTAATAATATTGCGCACTATTATGCATTTTTTATTTGGCGTTCACTTGGTTTTCAATTCTTTTGTCTACGAGGTTTTATTCTATTTTTAAAACTTTAAGTATTTAAAATGGATTAAAAATCATGTCTATAGCCCGAGTTCCCATCCCCTGTTGTTTTATATAAGAATATTCGAGAAAGTTTAGCGGAGAACACTCTCGGTTTATTTTTTTTGTTTCCCCAAGAAAGTAGTGACCCTAAGATATAAATAAATACCGAAGGACCACTTTTTAGGCTGCAGTTTCAGAAGGTTTGATCTGGCAGCTTTAACAAAGCTAACACAGACACGTAGAGCCGCCTCTCAAAGCGAACGTGTTTCGCCAAGTCTAGTTACCACAACCACACTAAAAAAATGCCAAACGTGACAGCTGGCTGTTTTGTATGTTGGCTGGAGTTTCTTCGCTTTTATGTTTTACTGTTAAAAAAAGAAATCCAATACTTCGTCAGTTTAATGGTTTGCATTTCGATTTTTACAAAACGAATGCGCCCAAATTCGATACTCACAAGCAGTTTTTTTGTCCAACCACTACCACATATGAACTTATAAAACCGTATTATTCTCCGCGAGGGATGTAGAAATTCAAATCCAGTAAGCCATGATTAACTTATCATCTTAATCCTTCTTAGCGTACGTGTGGAATTTCTTTTTCTCCTGTGGTGGGTTTTTGTGTTTTGGTGACATATTGTTGATGGGGGTGCTGCTGTTGTGAGCGCTGTTGGTGATGTTGGTGTTACCGTTGTCATTATGAATATTGGGTGCCGGGGTATGAAGGTTGTTGGTATAATGGGTATTGGTGTTGTTAATGTTGGCGATGTTGGTGTAGTGGATGTTGGTGTTGTGGAAGGTTATGGTTGAGGCCCTATGTTCCACAAGGAGTAAAGCCATGTCACGATGTTGGTGTTGTGTTGTGAATGTTGATGTTGTGAATGTTGGTGTTGTGAATGTTGGTGTTGTGACTGTTGGTGTTGTGAATGTTGGTGTTGTGAATGCTGGTGTTGTGAATGTTGGTGTTGTGAATGTTGGTGTTGTGAATGTTGATGTTGTGAATGTTGGTGTTGTGAATGTTGGTGTTGTGAATGTTGGTGTTGTGAATGTTGATGTTGTGAATGTTGGTGTTGTGAATGTTGGTGTTGTGAATGTTGGTGTTGTGTATGTTTTCTTAAATGTTGGTCTTACTTATTAAAAGTTTACACATCTTCAATCAAAGAGAGGCTGATGACACCCTAACCTATATATATATATATATATATATATATATATATATATATATATATATATATATATATATATATATATATATATATATATATATATATATATATATATATATATATATATATATATAAATCGATCTTATGACGTCATTGCCTAGACCAGATGCTAACAAACAACCTCAGTGTATGCAAATTCATGAGTACAAACGTTTTGCCTAATCTATAAATCTGTTACCAAACACGGGAACGTAGGACTAAAAAATTACATTCACATTTTTACAGTTCTGCCTAGCAGAAAGTAAACAGAGAGGCAGTGTTTACTGTGTATTGCTTTACACGTCCAAATCGGTTGATAAATATATTAATAGTGGAATGTGATGGGTGAATGGAGAGAAGGGGTGGGAAGCAGATTTGGGTTTAGATTAGAGATGGGTGCAAGGGATTGTATATTGTGTCCTATTAACAAATGTTTTCAAATCTATTTCAAATACAGAACTGTATGGCATCTGCAACCTTAAATTACGAATTATCTATTTTTAATATTGTAGGTTTTAGAAATATAAAATTAGATGTTTGATATCAGGTCTGTATGCTGGCAGTGGTGTCACGGGTCTCACCCAGTGCGGTGACTAACTAATGGTGTCACAACGGTTTTGTATTTTCGATTTTGGTGTCACCCCCACTTCCCTACTATTTTATTATCCATCCAAACCCCCCCCCCCCCCACCCCCCCCCCCCCCCCTTGTGACGCTGCTGTGTGCAGGCCTATATAAATCGATGGGAATGAAAGAATGAGTCAGAATAGCAAATTACTTTTGCAAACCTTGAAGGGCTCGTCTATAAACGACGTCCACTCGTAGGGTGGTCCGTAATTATGTGACGATGTGTTCAGAGAGGCGGGGGGGGGGGGGGGTTGGGTTAAGATAGTACGGCATCACATTTTTCTATCTTTTAAAGTAATGCTAGAAACTGATTTGTAGCCGTTATTTCGCTTTTTTGAAAACTGTTTTTTTGTATATGAAATAGAAATTGCTTAATATGTGTTTTTGAAAGAAATCGATGTTTAAAAAAATATTTTGAGGGGAGGTTGTAGCCTAAGATGTGAAGTCATTTTCGAGGGGGGGGGGGTCTGGCTTTGGGGCCTACAATGTCTAACGAGTAGAGTGGGGAAATAAATCGTCTGTGTATGTATATAACTAGTGTGTGTAAGCATTTTTTTTTTAAATTCTGAATGCACAAAACATTTTGAGGTGGTTATTTTTGTAGATCAGCTGCTGCCACTGTTTCACGTAGGCGCATGTGTCCTTCAGCGACCAGCTATGTGTTTTGAATCGACTTATGCTAAATGGGAAACATCTTGGAAACTTTTAGAATTAACCGCAAAACTGCACCATTTGTTTAGAAAAATAATTTAAAAATTGGAAATTGCTAGAAATGTATGCACGATTGCTCAAAATAAATTTGAATATTTTCAGTTGACGGACGTAGAAAGGGGCGGGTCTACGGCATTTCCGCGTGCTGACCTCGTTGTCTCGCCTGTCAAAGTAAGTCCTAGTTTGTGTTGTCCTGTCATGCTAAGTCATAGTTGGCTTGCTGTCCAGCCCAGAATACGGTTTGTTTGTTTGTTTCCTTTCTACATATGCTACTTATGGCAATGCTTAATGCTTTCAAATGTTAAGAACATTTCGTGGTTGTTTTTTTTTAAGAAAACATTTCTTCCCCTCTCCCCCCCCCCCCCCCCCCCCCAATGGCGATGTGATATTTCTTGATGTCGAAACACATCTGAAATTACGCCTCAGTTGGTAATCAAACAGTAGGGCGCAAGACTATTTATCCGATGTTCTCGCGCTTTAGACGTCCCTTAGTCTCCCACCCTCTTCTGATGGGTCCACAACACGTCTGCTTAAGGTCACAAACTGAAGAACTTTATTTCAATCGTTGATCAAAACATTCTCTTTTGGGTTAAACCAATATCTGGCACATCAATTATAAAACAATCCCAAATGTACACGGTTTCGGGGGGCCTAGGTAAAAATTACAGGTGAATGTTTTTATTTTAACGATGTTTTTTATTACGCATGAAGCTTTTTTTTCGTCTACAGAGAAGTGCTGTGTTCTGGTACACCTTCAAACCTGACGGCAGCGTGGACGACTTGACCCTGCACGCTGGCTGCCCCGTTTTGGTGGGGGAGAAGTGGAGTAAGTCTTGGTTCAAAAGGCTACTGAGTTGTTCGCCTTACACTAGGGGAAACCAGGGTTATTGTTGTGTTGTTACCAGGATTGTCCGTAGTGGTCGAACTCGTAATCATTGACGTTTGATGGAGAAAAGTATTGAAATTCAACAGCATTGGCCTAATTTTTTAATATATATATATATATATATATATATATATATATATATATATATATATATATATATATATATATATATATATACATATATATATACATACATACATATATATGTATACATATATATATATATATATATATATATATATATATATATATATATATATATATATATATATATATATTATATATATACGAGAAAACTTAGCTTGTGGTTATGTCCCCTAGTTCTTTTTTAAATAGAACAATACAGGGGGTTGCCTAATTGCATTGACGTGTAGCTGCGCCCCTTAGGTATCCCCATACTGGTGTTACATTACCACAGCCCCGTTTGTTTCAGTCATCAACAAGTGGGTGTTGACCAAGGGCAACTCGTTCACACGAAGGTGCGGCCTAAAGAAGAACGCGACCCAGCTGGACATTGACCCTGAGATGAGGAGGGGCTACAAGCCAAAGAGAAAAAAGAAGATGGCGCGATAACTCTGCCCTTGAAATTATGTAATACATGTTATTTAAAAATATAAATATTGCCAACTTGTCCGTGCTGTGTTCGTGTTGATTAGATTCTATGTTGATTTGTTAAACTTCCATACTATTGACTTTGTTAAGATAAAATGAAGGTGATAATAAACAAAATTGTAAAAAACGCGATGTGTTGTTTATTGTCAAACTTGAAAAACGTGAAAAACTATTTAGCTGAGTAGTGGATGGAGTGATGCTAGAAGTAGACGGTGCTGAATCTAGGTATGGTGGGATCCATATGTACTGGGTGGTATTTTTGGAACAGTCTCTGTGATATGGTAAGTAGTTGGATTATACGCTTGGGCTACGCCACTGATGACAATAAGCTTAAGAAGATAATGTGAAGATAATGTGATCGCCGCAATGCGCACACTCAGACACTAAGAGCTGGAGGGTGGACCAGGACGTTATCCATTTGAAGCGTTTACAAAAATTGGAATATTGACCCTTCCCCCCCCCCCCCCCCCACACATACATATTTAAGTCAAACGATTATAGTAGCCCACCGTATTCACAGAGTATGGTCACCGGATCGCGTATGGGCTTGTTGAATCAAGCAGTAACGCCCCCCCCCCCCCCTGTGCGTGACGCCCAATGCCAGGTGTTAAAATAGCCGCTAGGTCACTGGGTGCCAAACCGTACCCTACTGCCGGGGCGCTGCCCTTCCGAATTTGATAATTCTCAACAACTTTCTCAAGTTTCAAGGCGATCGGATGAAAGCTGTGATAGTGCATAAAAGGGAGACGTACACACATATACATTCATTTAAATTTTTATAGGTGAATATAGAATACCTATAGAGTCCTTTCATATGACGTCACGTCCGTTCGTGATACCTACGCCCGCCGCCACAGTGGTGTACACCAGACGTAAACACAATCAGCTGTTCGCCAGCGCTGGACGTGTTCACCAGTGCTGGGCACTGGACGTGTTCACCGTATGTAAAGAATCGCGCCCGCGGAAAAGGAAAAATATGTTTAAAAACTTGAACTCTTAGGAATTGAAGATCCTTATACTGTTATTGACAGTTTCGTAGATAATATAAATATGTGGACAAAATTTCTAAATAAAAATAAATAAAAATACTGTTAGTAATACTGTTTGCGTTTAGAGTTAAAGTAGCCGAATCTGATCAAATGCAGTTCTCGATACTTTGTTTCAGGTAAAATAATAAACTTCATTTTAATTATAAAAGATAACTATTAATAAAACAAATATGCTCGACCTTCACAAATACTAATAGTAAAAGACAAAGTCAAAAGTAATAATAAGAATAATAAGATCTAATAGTAGGCCTAATACCTGGCTCCGCTGGGTAGATTCTAGAATCTACTTCTTTACTTAAATTTAATTACTTTAGATCTACATTCGATTCAAAATACACCCATAATAAATCAAAAGTAGTCATAATAGGCCTAATAAAGCATTTAATTGTCTCTAAGATCTAAAATCTCGCTCTATAATCTAATCATTTTTTTAGCAAACGAAATTTTCTGAAATTGAAATAGATTGTATGACTAGACTTAGATCTAGAATCTGCTACTTAAATTAAATTGTAAAAACTTTATACAAGCATGTAGTTGATATTATTGTAGTAGAAGGCTTTAATAAATTACTAAGGCCTACCTACTTTGTTGTCTTTTTACAGCAATATGTATCTGATATTGGACTGAGTTTAATTAAATTCAAATTCATATCTAGTAATTGGTCTACTAAGTTTTTGTAGCCTAGTAGTACAATCTAGATCATACCAGCCAACAACAAATAACCACATTATTATTATTTGGTTAATGATTAGGCTAATTTTTTTTTAAATCCACTGTTTATAAAAGAAACAAATCAAGCTAGAAACATTATAAGTGAGATGGTTTAGAATAATAACAATGGACCCAGTCTACAATTGATACAGGTCTACATAGGGCCTACAGTCTAGTAGTTTACAGTAGGCACCTAGTGTGTAGCTAGTATACTAGTGTGTAGCTGTCCAGAGTTAAGATTCTTAATGCCTTAATGCTTTCCCCTGATAAGCCGTGTGTGCTATAAATGATATAACATGACATCGAGGTGAGAAATGTTGAGGGGAGAGCAGTGAGAAATGTTGAGGGGAGAGCAGTGGGACTTTCCCCTTTGTTCTCCCTGCTGGGCCCTGAGGGTCAAATTATATAAGAAATACTATCTCTGTGGGGCTGGGTATCACGGAGGTGAGACATTTTCAGGGGAGGGCAGGACTCCTCTTTGGTTTTATTGTGGGCTAGATACAGGTGGGGGCAGCCATTATGAGGGTTGAACGTCAGTATTAATGTGTCTGATTACTTCCCTGCTGGATTCTAAGGGTCTTAAATTGTATAACATGCTACCCAGATTGGTTATTACCCATGGATTATATTAGCCGTTGTAGTGTGGGTTTTGTAGGAGTTAAGTGGTCTCACGTTTGCTACAGTAGATAACCTATAATATATTACTGCATTTAATCAGCTTCGTCTACTTAAACTCTAAACGCAAACGGTATTACTAACACTACAGTATTTTTATTTAGAAATTTCGGCCACATATTTATATTATCCACGAAACTGTCAATAACTGTATAAGAATCTTCAATTCCTAAGAGTTCAAGTTTTTTAACATATTTTTCCTTTTCCGCGGGCGCGATTCTTTACATACGGTGAACACGTCCAGTGCCCAGCACTGGTGAACACGTCCAGCGCTGGCGAACAGCTGATTGTGTTTACGTCTGATGTACACCACTGTGGCGGCGGTCGTAGGTATCACGTGATTTAGGTCACGTGTTTGCAAGGACTCTATACTTAATACTAAACACGATTATACGAAAAAAGTTTAGGGGAGATCACTCCCACTTACTTTTTACCTTGTATTTACCAAGACGAAACAATACTGCAATCAATATCTTCCAACAGAAAATTATATTTTTTCTGTAATAAATTATTTTATATTGTCAATATTTTTATAATATATGTTTTAAATTTTTAAAATAGCTATATCTTCTTTTAAATAATGTTTACTGCACAATAAGAGTCCAGTAAAATTGAATTGTTTCACTCATTTATTTTATTTTGATTGTTGGCACTAAACTGCTCTCCATTATTTAAAAACACAAAAGCTATAGGGCCACGGTCATGGCCGTGACCTCCTATTTCCAGGTTTCATTTATATTACCAGGCTTAATAAAAGTAATAATAATAGTGAAATGAAAAATAACTTCATTCCTTTTGTTACTGTTAGTTTCAATTCATAAGTAGATCTATGTGTGTAAGCCTACTTACTTATTCTTATTTTTACTATTGGCTAGGGTTTAGACCAATAATTAGATAGACTAGATCTAAACTTCTAAATAAAATAAAAGTAAAAGGCCCATTTTTTTACCATTTTCATTTTGAATTTTCATATTTTCAATTTTGTTTTTTTTTATGTTTACAACTACACATCTTAGATCTAGATCTAGACCTAGTAATTATTAAGATCTAAATCTAGTCTTCTAGATCTAGAATTAGAATCTATCTAGGAATCTACTAATCTAGCTGGCTAGTTAGCTAGGCCTACTACTAAAATGAAATACTGAACTAGGCCTGTGTGGTGTATTATATTTATTACGAAGTGACTACTCGGAAAAAGATTTTTCGCCCCAGCGTCTCCATTTAGTCTGCAAAAGATAATTCTGTGCATGCACAGTATCCTTAATAGCTGAGCTAGGGTTAGGGATATGGTTAGAGTAAGGGTTCTGATTTGTTTGTAAACACATGCATGCTCATTACTCATTACCATCGAAAACATCACGACGAAGTTGTAGTTTCACTCCATTGCGCATGTGTATCTTTTTCTGGCAAGAATCTGCCTATTCTATTTATTATTTTAAACCTAATCTAAAGTCTATCAGTCAGTAGACGTAGATTTAGATCTAGACTAAACCTTATAGTAAATCTAGGTTTAGTTGTAAGTAGTAGGCCTTCCTATAAAGGCCTAATACTTTATACTAGTACAACTAGATCTAAATATTTTAAATTTAGTTTTAGTAGTGCCTATAACTTTTCCTATAACACTAATAACAGTTAATGAGTTGCCATCCCCCGTTGTTTTATATTAAAATATTCGAGAAAGTTTAGGGGAGATCACTCCCGGTTTATTAGTTATACGGAGCAAAGAATAAATCAGTATTATCTTTTTAAAGTAAATATCTATTTGCTCATATCTTTACATTACTTTACAATATCTGAATCTTAAACTATGGAAAATAAAACCATTAGCCTATTAATAACAATTTCTTAAAATCAATGAAACAAATAAAATGAGCATGATATAATATAAGCATTAGATACTCTATAAATCTGGTCAATATACTTTGCATAGGGCGCTTTTATTTTATGTAGCCTTAAGAAAAATGATAATTTTAGAATATTTAAAAGCTTGATATTATAAAATAAAGGTTAAGCTTTTCATTATCACTAATACACACAACAAAAATTCAGTACATTGTTATATTTCAAATGTAGGTATGGCTTTTTAATAAAAGTAAAAAGAAATTACTTATCAATAATTTGCTAATTAGTGAAAAAAATATTTTTCATCAGTGACAAAATTTCAACTTTTCATTGCCTATTCTTTATAGATTTTATGAAAGAAACCTCAGCTAGATGTAACCATGGTGTGAAGTAGTATTTTATATTAGAAAATCAGCAAATTAGCTATGGCTGCCAAACCTTTTACTCGCCATGACGCAAGAATTGGAGAATTGATTACTCCAAGAGAGAAAGAACCCCATATTCTAAGTGTTAAGCTTGATGTCTACTATACCTTGTGTATGTATTTTTGTTAGAGATTTTTCATGCAGAATTTAATAAAGCTTTTGATAAACTATAGAACATAAAAATTATATTCTGTAATAAAACTGGATTAAAATATTATATTAGCTACTAATCTTAGCATGTAAAATTGCACATTTTCAAAAAGAGGAAAATTGAACCAGTTTAAGAAATCTGTTATTATGCATTCACATTGTCCACAATTCTTTTTATATCAGTAATACATTTTTTTCCTAGTGAAGAGGCAGATACTTCAATACCAAAGTCCAACTAGTGGTCTGTTTCCATCAATTGGGTCAGAAAAAAACACAAACAGAATAGCACATGTACGAGACACAATATACTGCGCAGTCTCTGTATGGTCTTTGTCCCAAGCATACAAGTAAGTTGTAGTCCAGCCTTAAGTGGATCCGGGGGATCTGTGTATTATGATGTTATATTTAAACCTCAGCTCAGATGTCTCCTGGCCATTCCAAGGAGGATGGGAAATTAATTAAAACACTATAGTAAAGTAAAATATTGAGGTCATAGCAAGATCTACTTTTTATGCCCTATTAACCATCAGTCAACCATCTGGTCACAGAAGTTAAGTTACTGCTTAAAAATTATAACTTTTTTCATATTGACATTTTTAAATGTTCACTCTTTAAATTTTTTTTTTTTTGATCAGCTTTGCAAAACATTGTCATTTTCTTGCTTTTTTTCTATAACTGAGTACACTAATCGCTGTGATATTTATTTCTCTAAAAAACCTCACAGAAAAATTGATGATGATCAAGGGAGAGCACATGAACTGGGACAAGCAGCTGTGAAAAGTATGAGAGGAATTTTACAATGTTGGATACGCCAAGCAGATAAAGTGAGTTCACCATAACAAAAAGGCACTTAGATAACTTGTAAAGATCATCGTTATATTTTCATGATAGGCTGAATATTAAAGCAAAAATTTTTATAATTCTGACCAAAATGTTTTGCAACAAAACAAACGCTAAAGACATAAGGATTATTGCATTAGTAAAGTGAAAGTTCTCAGATCATTCTTGTAATATGCACATTAATCTTAAATTAGCGCTATTAATCCACCTAAGGTATTTAAAACTGGTGTACTTCTGTGGTATATTTGTTTATGCTGGCATTCATTGAGAAATTAAAATGAAGGTTTTTTCAAATCTGTAGGTTGAAAAATTCAAGTCCAACCAAAGTCCTATTTTTGCTCTACATTCAACCTTTGATATGTTGACTGGTGACCCAACCTACAGGGATGATGAATATGAGCATTTGCAAGTATGTCCTGTTCTTCACTTAGCTCTGCCAAAGCATCCTTTTGTTTGGAATATTTTGTTTAGTCTGTTTTCAACAGTGTGGTAGTATGGTGGAAGGCATAGCTGTCTGACTAACTGCTGATCATTTTAAGATTTTTATCCTCAGAACCCCCTGAGCTATCCTCAGATACTGTTAAAAGTATAGCATAATTGAGCTTGGACATAGTTATTATAATAGTTCAACTACCCAATCAGACAATTGAAACACTACAAAAATCTTTAAATAAATATTTAAAGAGTAGGATCTGTAAAACTAAATATATTTAAATTAGGCCTTCTTTTTTTCCCCCTCATGCTAACATGGTTGAAATAAGACAAAAACTATACAAATGCAGGTTTGTATTTTGTCCATCTTAACAGGAATCAATTGTGCATTTTAATTTTACAAACAACCATGACTTTTCCTTGTTTTGTCTTTGTTGGGTAAAATGTTTATAAAAGTTAACATTATTTTAAACTTTGGTGATATTTCTAAATACAACAATTTTTACTGAAAATATATGCATGATTTTGAAACCCTTTTTTATTTTATAAAAGAAAATAAATCATGTGGACTTGATTGCTAAGTAACATTTGTATACAAAAACCAATTTATAAATACTTATAATTATAAGAACAGTGTTGTTGTTAATGGAAATTTTGCATGATTTTGGTACCCTTTTTTAATTTTGTTTAATAAAAAATCACTTGGTACTGATTTTTTGTCACTCATACCTGTTCACAGCTAATACTATGATGAAAACTCTTTAATTATTTGGCTTCACAAAATAAAAAATAAATTTTCAATTTAATTTAAAATGCGTTTTTTAAGAGTATAGATGGAAAAGAAATCAATATTCAATAGTCACTTGTAAATTGTGTATTTAAAAACTTTGATTATATCTACTTTTTTTTTTACAGATTGATGCTGTAGCTCTCTACTTGTTGTTTCTTAGTCAAATGATTTCATCAGGTTTACAGGTACTTAATGTATATACTTCATATTATAAGGCTTAAAAACAAAGCTTTGAAGTTTATAGAACATTTGAAAGAAAGCATGTAATAACATTGTGCTGCTTCTTTAAATCATTTTATAACCTCATTTTAAGACTTTTTAATTATACATATAATATTTGTATAAGGCCTTAAATGACAACCTTTTTTTTTAAAAGTAAACTTTCCTTAATGACTAAACTCTATTCTAGAATATAATTGTTGGAGATTTTTTATTGCTCTTATATTATGACTGATTTTACTATACAAATGTTTTTAGTGAATTGAACATTTATTTTATTTTCTGTTTTGACATTAAGCTTTAACGGTCTGGCTCTTCTATCACACTGCATTTATAGGTACTTAGTCAATAAACATGTTTTAAAAAAACTATAATCTTTACCAGGTCATCTACTCAACAGACGAAGTAAACTTTATCCAGAATCTAGTATTTTATGTAGAGCGAGCTTACAGAACACCAGATTATGGCATGTGGGAGAGGGGAAGTAAATACAATAATGGGAGTACAGAGATACATGCCAGGTATAATAGTAAAGTCAGCAAGGTGTTTTCAGTGCAGTGTGTGTCTTAACTCATACCTAAGATCTGTCTTTAACCTAAAAGAAATATAGGCAGAAAAAACAGTGTGATCCAGTATTGTTTTATAAGAATCTATTTGCATATCTTTTTTTAACTAAAAATAGCCAGCCAATTTAATTTTTCAAGTTTAAATTTTCCTTTCGAAAATTTAAATAAACTTTTTATCTAACCACTTCTTTAGAATATCAATTAAAAAAATAAAAGTATTTGTGTGCGATTTTATGTCATGGCAAAATTTATTACTTTTAATACTTTGTGAACTAAAAGTAGAACAAATGTTTTTGTCCAGTTCTATTGGCATGGCAAAAGCTGCGCTGGAAGCTGTGAATGGCTGTAATTTGTTTGGTGAACACGGTGCTGCTTGGTCAGTTATATTTGTTGATATTGATGCTCACAACCGTAATAGAACGATCTTCGAGACCATTCTTCCCAGAGAGTCCAATTCAAAGGTACCGACTTCATACTTAATAAAATTTACTGTTAATGTAAAGAAAAAAATTACATTACTTCACATAACAATTACATTAATTTGTTTTATAAGAGGTTTTTGTTTTTTTTTTTGCTTTTCTTTTGATGACTTTGTTCAGATATACATTAGGTTAAAGATTTGTGAAATGCTGTATAAATTGACAGAAGGGTCTAACAAAACTATTGCAACATATTACATTCCTAGAACACAGATGCATCTTTGCTACCTACGGTCAGCTGGCCTGCCTTTGCTATACACGAGGACGAAGTCCGACACAGGACAATAGAAAAGGTTACACGTAAACTCAAGGGTCATTATGGCATCAAACGTTTTCTTAGGGATGGCTACAAAACAGTTATTGAAGACAGGAACAGAAAATATTACAGACCTGCTGAAATAAAGGTATGGCTAAATTATTATAGACAACATTCAAAAATATTATAGACCTACTGAAATTTAGGTATGGCTAAATTATTATAGATACCAACAGAAAATAATACAGACCTCAATAGTAATAATAATATTATTAAAAAGTTGATTAATATACTTTTATACATCTTTAATTTTATTTCTCCTCAGAATTTTGATGGCATTGAATCAGAATGGCCTATGTTTTTTGTTATCTTGCTTATTGACAGTAAGACTTTTGTAGATACTCAGCTAAAAATGTACAGCATTTCAAACTTTTTAAAACCCTTTAAAAGCTTTTGTAAAAAAAAAAATCACCAAGTCATTGATTGCTCATCAGAAAAATATAAAATCAATTTTAGCACATATATATTGGCTTATTAAAATTAGAAACAGAAAACTGTACTATTTTTTGAAGCTCTAGTCAATTTATTTTCCTTTCTCTCAGGCATCTTTCGTGGTAATAAAGAAGATCAAAAATATTACCAGGAGCTGGTCGACAAAGTTATATACGAGTCCCCTGATGGTAATTAATTTAGGTTGCTTTTTTTTCAGTTTAAAATTATAAACACAAATTTTATAAAGTGTTTATGTTATAGTACTTGGTTAATTCGATTTTAATTAATGTTAAATTTACCTTAATCTAATAAAACCCTTAATTTTTCAAATATCTGTTTTAGTCTATTGAAAAAAGTTTCTTCTTTTTTTTTTGGCCTAGTCATGAATTATTGATCACTATATTTGTATGGACAAGGCAACCTACTGCCCATATCTGTATGTTTTCCTAGTCACCTACTGTCCATATTTGTATGTTTTCCAGGTCACCTACTGTCCATATTTGTATGTTTTCCAGGTCACCTACTGTCCATATTTGTATGTTTTCCAGGTCACCTACTGCCCATATTTGTGTGTTTTCCAGGTTGCCTACTGCCCATATTTGTATGTTTTCCAGGTCACCTACTGTCCATATTTGTTGGTTGTCCATGTCACCCACTGCCCATATTTGTATGTTCTCCAGGTCACCTACTGTCCATATTTGTATGTTTTCCATGTCACCCACTTCCCATATTTGTATGTTTTCCAGGTTACCTACTGTCAATATTTTTATGTTTTCCATGTCACCCACTGCCCATATTTTTATGTTCTCCAGGTCACCTTCTGCCCATGTACTACTATGTGCCAAAGAACCTGATAGAGCAGGAGAAGATGGTACCTGGCAGCCAGGCCAAGGTCCCATCACTGGAGGGGACAACAGCAGGGGTTTTCATGTGGGGGCAAAGTTTACTCTTTATTGCCAAACTTCTGTGTAAGTTTGTCCACTTTGTATAGCACTTTAATACTTACTTTAAAACTTCTTACCCCTACTCTTAAAATAATACAGTACTAATCAACTGTCTAGTTTTTCATAATTTTATATTTTTAAGGAATTTTATTTAAAATATAAAAGTAAAAAAGAAATAAAGAATTCTCTTTAGACTTAGTGATCCTTTGAGCAGATGAAGTAGAGTTCATATGTTTCTTTACCTCATCACCACTTTGCCCAGCCACCTTTACTTTCCCTAACATAAGTCCTGTACGTGTCAGAGCTGATTATACTCAGGGCTGTTCTACTGACTTGGACCCGGATTCGAACTCGAGATTTCATGGCTGCACCCTAGTGCTCTACAGCTTTAAAATGCATGTTCCCTTAATTTTGTTCCCTTTACCAAAACAACATATTTGCAACCAGTCAGAACCCTTCCTTCCCCATATAAGCATGATGCTATTTATCAACTACCCTAAAACAGATTCCTCCTGTGTTGTAACCACACCAATTAATTAAGCCAGCTTATTATCTTCCAGCTGATGGTCTGCTGGGCATCAACGACCTGGACTGTATACGGCGCCACCTGCCTGCCACAGAGAGGCCCACATTTAGTGCTCGTTACTCCAAGTTCCAGGTAACCTCATCACACCAGCTTGCACACTTCCTACCTGCATTGCTTACATTTAACATGAACAGTTTAATGCTTTTTTTTTTTTAAATGTATAGAAACTAACGTGTAAAGTATGAACAAATGGCAGTGATATCTGTGGGAGGGAGTGGAGTGTATTTGGAAGTCTGTTGTTCCCACTCCATACGGGATAGTGATTTGTATTAAGAGGGTTTTGTAATGTAGCCTGAAAAGGGCTGTATTGATGACTTGGCATGTAGCAAACATTTATCTTCTCTGTATAAGCTTGTCTTCCACATCTTATGGAATTTATCACACCTCATCTTGTGAGGTAAAATATACTCTATTCTTGAGATTTCTTCTCATTAAGGTTTTTACTTTGTATATGTTTGACAAAAATCATATTTTCATCTCCTAAATAGGCATTAAGTTAAGCATTGCATATAATTTAAAACAGATATATGCTAATTTACATTAGCATTTTATTTTTGCTCTTTGCGGCTACCAGTTGTGATTGAATAGAAAATCATTTATATTTTCGCACATAATGTCAATAAAATCGTTAACAAAATAGTCGAAGTAAAATTTCGGACTATATGTAAAAATCAGATAATTATCATGTGAGAACTAATGCTGATCGTCTTGGTGAAATCTTCTAGCACAGGACAGCTGATGTATGTATGTTTTGTATGGTCCACTGCTGGGCATGCTGTAGTCATCTGTCTCTGCTCTGTGGAGCTTTCTTCTCACATCTCCTAGTCGTTGTAACCCTATAGCTGCCATTGTTAGCCATGAGCTTGGGAGTCACGCTGTATGTCAGTTGATGCTTTGACTAAAAAAATTTCTTGTTTTGCTCACGTTTTAAATATTTTACTTAGACTAACCTCCTGAGTCCACTCGCACATTTAATGCACTTGGCTGTTGACAGATATATTTCGCCTTTTTTTTTTTTTGACTGCATGACTTTTTATTACTATAAAGAATAGCATTTTTAAAATGCTTTATAAGCAGAATCTTGCTGGCTTGCCCAATCAGAAGATTTATTCATTAACAATTGAACTTAAACTTATCTAGAAAAAAATTTGGTCCTTAGAATATTAATTCAAACATAACACTGGTTTTGGACTATATTTAAATTAAATCACTATGTGTTTTGAGAAATGTACGATTAAAAACAAAATAAATCATTTGACCAAAGAAACTCCCAAAGTATATATGTGTATCAGCTGAATCAGACTGTTGTCCTGTAGTTGTATATCTCAGTAACCTGGTTGGTAGATATTTAATTAGCTCTTTGTAATTTGTTGATATATCTCAATAGCCTGGATAATAGATGTTTAATTAGATCTTTGTAATTTGTTGAACTAGCTCAATAACCTGGTTGGTGGATATTTAATTAGCTTCTTGTAATTTACTGACATTTTATTTCCTAGGGCCAATTAGTTGACAGAAGACCAAAATCTAATGCAAAGTCTAAGGTTAAAAAAGTGTTACCTTGAAATAATTTTTGAAGGTCTTTTGTTCATATTTTATTGAAAATTGAAGTTAATGCATCTTTTAATTTTAAACTAAATTTTCTGTGCATGGAGCTTAATAATTTTTTAAAATGCCTAATGTTTTACATTTAGCACGAAGTGTGTTAATCAGCATAAATATATTGGATTCTATTTGGTTAGCGATTGATACATCTAAATTTTTTAAGATGAATAAACAACTAATATAAGCAAACTGTTCATTAATATTTTGGGATCCATCAAAAAATAATTAAACTGTATGTGTTATTGTGTTGTATGTTTATTTAATTTCATTTTTTACATTGAATATCTTTTATAAAACTTTCTATCTATAATCTGCCATTTGCAAAATGAAAGATTATCTTGTTTTGGTTAAACTTTATATTCGTTCAGGATTTGAGTCACTTTGTTAAAAAATTGAACCATTTAAACCCCAAAAAGGTAATGCCCTTGATTTTATATAAAATCCCCAAAAGTATATTCTTTCTGTTGCAGGAGTATGGGATTAAGGTGAATTTTTTTCATAAGGTCGCTAAACCCTAATATTTCCTTTATTCTTTCATCAGGGGCCACGAGGCCCTGATAGTTTCCTTATTATTTTATCCACTTAAGATTAATTTATCTAGACTCTAAGAAGTAAGTAATACAGATGCAGTTTGGTTAAACGTTAAATATTTATATAACTACTGTAAATGTATATTGTATTGTTGTTATCAAACTTAGATTTGTATTTATCAAGAGGTTATTGTTATTCTACTATTGTTTAAATAAGAAAACAATATTTGAAAAAAAAACACTTTATCCATTTAGATCCCATTTAATATGAAAGCAGTTAAACTATAGAGAAAAAGTAGAAACCAAAACTTAACATTTGTTTAAATAGATGTAGACCTGTATTAGGCTAGAATTGCTTTACTAACACATTACCTTTTCTTTTCTTTAGTTGCTTTTCTTTTTTAAATTTTATTTTAGCTGTGAACTCAACTTTCACAAAATACTTTACCTATGTTTTAATTTTTTTTAAGGAATATATTAATGCATAATAAAAACCTTTAAATTCTCTTACTTCTCATGGCTGTATTTGAACTCACTTTATTTTCTAAAGGAACTATAGTAAAAATAAAAAGTTGGTCTGGCGAGAGCATTTTCTAAACAGATTTATAATTTTTTGCAAGTAAAATAGTTATTTTACATTAGAAGTGATTATATTGGGCAAAACTGCAAAACTTCAATATTATTGCTTGGAGGAAAAACCAACAGTGCAGTGTATTTCTGTACCCCACATTTAAATTACTTTAGTTTTGAAAAATATTTTAGTTACATGAGTATTTACTGAGGGTTAAATCAATTAATAACTTTAATGAATTAGTATAATAAAAGTATTTCCATTATAAATTAAAACTAATTTAAACATGCTGAGTTTTCTAGTTCTAAATGCTGCTTTAACTAGCCATCCTTCTTGAAAAGCTTCCTTAATATTAATAAAGTTTTAAATTTCAGTTTAAAATATATAATCTTGAGGAAATATTCAAATATTATTTGTAATACTTGCTTTTTAACTGAGTTATTCATTTAAATTTTACTCGAGCAAGATGGCTTTTTAAAGCAAAAAGCATTTTAAATTGAAACAATTTTTTTATGCTAAAGTATTCATTTCTAATCAGCTTTTATATCTGCATCCTTTGAACAAATTTACAACAATAATAACCATTTTTGTTTTAAATTTTTTATTCAATGAACTGAGGAAGTAAAAAATGATTTAGCTTATTTCATTACCAATAATTTATTTGGAGCAACAGTGTTTCAACCAATGTTAGGGCTTGTTGTGGGTGAGGCCATTATTGTGTGTTGCTAGAGAAATAGGTACATGTCCTTTGTTGCAGTGTGTTTGATTAAGAATTTCATTTTGTTGTTACTTTGTTACTTGGGAGTAGTTGTTGCTGTCTGTTACTGTGTGTTGCTAGGTATTTAGTTGTTGCTGTTTATTACTGTGTGTTGCTAGGGAATTAGTGGTTGCTGTCTATTACTGTGTGTTGCTAGGGAATAAGTAGTTGCTGTCTGTTATTGTGTGTTGCTAGGGAATTAGTGGTTCCTGTCTGTTACTGTGTGTTGCTAGATATGTAGTGGTTGCTGTCTGTTGCTGTGTGTTGCTAGATATTTAGTGGTTGCTGTCTGTTTCTGTGTGTTGCTAGGGAACTAGTGGTTGCTGTTTGTTTCTGTGTGTTGCTAGATATTTAGTGGTTGCTGTCTGTTTCTGTGTGTTGCTAGGGAACTAGTGGTTGCTTTCTATTACTGTGTGTTGCTAAGGAATTAGTGGTTGCTGTCTATTACTGTGTGTTGCTAAGGAATTAGTGGTTGCTGTCTATTACTGTGTGTTGCTAGGGAATTTGTGGTTGCTGTCTGTTACTGTGTGTTGCTAAGGAATTTAATTAGTGGTTGCTGTTTGTCACTGTGTGTTGCTAGGGAATTAGTAATTGCTGTCTGTTTCTGTGTGTTGCTAGGGAATTAGTAATTGCTGTCTGTTTCTGTGTGTTGCTAGGGAATTAGTGGTTGCTGTCTGTTGCTGTGTGTTGCTAGGGAATTAGTGGTTGCTGTCTGTTTCTGTGTGTTGCTAGATATTTAGTGGTTGCTGTCTGTTACTGAGTGCCATTTGATCCTAGGGCACAGCACCAGACCTGGTCATCCAGATAGTTCTCATCTCTGAGACATCCAGGCTGCAGCAGCTGCTTGGGACGTACGGCATCCAGACACAGACCCCACACCAGATAGAACCCATCCAGATATGGTCACCTAAGGAGCTCACCAAAGCTTATGAGTACCTGGGAATCAACAAAAAACTGGGAATAACTGGTCGGCCAAGTCGGCCTTTTGGCGTGCTTAGCACTTCTAAAGTAAGTCGAATAGCTCTTACTTTTGTTAGAAATAAATAAGTAATGTTAGCCTTTTGTTGCATGTAATACTTCTAACATGTTTAAAAGTCCAAAACCTCAATATACATTCACTTTTTTTGTAAGTTACTGCAACTTTCTAAGCTGAAAACAATGCCTGCATCTCTTAGGTATTTCGTGCCTGTGGCAAGACAGTGCTTTGCTATCCATTACTTTTTGAACTCAGTGATTTCTATTTGGCTCAAGACATTTCTCTCGTGATGGATGATTGTAAGGTAAGATTAGGTGTAGGCCAGGGGTAGATAACTCAAAGGTTCTAATGTAATCTTTGTCAAAGGCAGAGCTAGATAACTCAATGGCTTTAATCTTTAATATAAGGCAGGGAAAAATAACTAAATAGCTGTAAGGTAATCATTGGTGTAGGTCAGTGATAGATAAGTCAGTGAGTGAAATATAAGCTAAATTGTAAAGCAGGTACTTAACTCATGACTACGAGGTATTTTTTTCTGGGTAGAAATCAGCACTGTAGGTGATACTGTAGACTATGTGAAACTAATGCACTACAGTAACTACTTTTAATTTCTTTCAGAATGATCTGGCATTTCTGGCCAAGTGCTGGAAGTTGTCTGGTCGACCTACCTGGTGCATGGTCATCAGAGAAAATGCCATACGAGGACATAACTTTGTCGAGTTCCTGGAACTTTTGTCTCAGTTTAAAAAAGGAGACGTTGATGGCATCAGAGTTCGAGTTGGTCGACTGCAGGTAAAAATATTTATTGACATTTTGTAAAAGCTCCTGGAACATTTTGTGAAGTTTTTACATGATTTGTATCAGAGTTGGTTAAGTATTTTATTTAATCTTTCCTGGAACTTAAATCACAGTTTAAGAAAGTTAGCTTTCTTAAGGCTACATTAAGTATCTGAATCTGAGAAGAAACTGTATTGCCAATGATAAGTCAATGGTCTTTAACAAAAGATATCAGCTGTAGTTTGAAATAAGAACGTTTTTGTTTGTTTTTCAGTCGTTTATCTCATCTGCTGCCGTTGAACACCTTGACTTTTTAAATCTCTTGCCTGACCCAAGCATCTTCAGCCCATTTGAAGAGAAGACCATGAAAGCCAGCTTCAAATCTTTAACTGAGATACCACAGTTGGTCGCACTAGAAGAAGAATCTTTTGTCAATGAAACAGTAATTTTGATTCTTTTCTATTCTTGATCCTGTATGATTTTTATATTATTTTATCTTTTTATTTTTAAGTATTTGTTTTTAAACTGTAGTTTGTAGCAGCAAAAAAAGATGTTTTTATTTTTTATTTTTTTAACTACTTCTCTTCATCATAATCTTTTTTGTCAATGAAACAGTAATTTTGATTCTTTTCTATTCTTGATCCTGTATGATTTTTATATTATTTTATCTTTTTATTTTTAAGTATTTGTTTTTAAACTGTAGTTTGTAGCAGCAAAAAAAGATGTTTTTATTTTTTATTTTTTTAACTACTTCTCTTCATCATAATCTTTTTTTTTTTAATTAAAGATATGAAATCAGTATTTTATCTCTGTTGAGTATACAAAAAAATTCATAAAAAACGTTTTAATAACAAGCTTTTATGTAATAATGCACTAAAAAGTAGAAAATAAATTATACACTATTATTTAAATTACTATAAAGAAAAGCGTGGGTCACTTTAGTACCGATTGGATACCTTTACTAATATTTGAGAAGAGACCCACGCTTTTCTCTATAGTAATTTAAATAATAGTGTATAATTTATTTTCTACTTTTTAGTGAATTATTACATAAAAGCTTGTTATTAAAACGTTTTTTATGAATTTTTTTTCAGTACTTTACATGTTTTATTTACAATAGAGTTACATAACTAAAAACCATTGCGCGCCTACTGAACGCGATGGCGCAGCTATTGAATGTATTGTGATGGCGCAGCTATTGAACGTGATGACGCGTGTGGTGTGGTTGGCTAGACATGCCTAATAATTCGGTCCAAATTTTAATTAATTCATAAAAAATTAATTAGGCATCCAATTAAGTCAAATTTAGTTTCAGATTGCATTGTCTTCATGTCTTGACCCACGTGCCAACTTTGAATCGTATCGGTCAAGTAGAACTGTCCGAATTTTCACTCCTGCGTTTCGGTCTAGACAGACTGACGACAGACAGAGGAAGTGAGTTAAATAAAAGCTTGTAAAAATATGACTTAGCTGTTGTGTTTATTGAAGTTTTGTTCCATTGTGTAGAATCTGCGCAGCAAAACAAGCCCGGAGCTGATGAACTACATCAGCTCAGTGTCTGGTCTCAATACTCAGGTTACTCTACTGAAAATATTGTATGAGCGTGAAGGTCCTTTCTTCCCTGTGGAAGGCAGCACAATAAGGTAATTGTCTTATTTATAGTAAATAACTTTTTAAACATTCCCTGTTTAATTTATTCAAAATACATTTAAAAAGAGAAAAAAATTTCTCCCATGAATGAAAATTTTCTCCAAAAATGTAAATATAAAGCAAACCCAAAAAAAATTAGGTTTTAAAATGTATTAAATTATTTCCTTGAAATTTTAAATCCATCCTTGAAAAATATGAAAATTTCTTGAGTCATTTTCTTGCAATTTCATATCCATCCTTGAAAAAACTGAAAAATACCTTGTATTGTTACCTTGCTTTTGACAGCGAAAATAAATTCCAATTTTTTAAAAAAGGATTCAGATACTTCGGTTTTTAAAAACTAGGATTGTTATTATGTTGCCACTTTCTTAAATATTTAATATTGAGATCATCTTTATTCCATTTCTAGCTCCAGATACAATAATTAATTAAAATTAATGCCAGTGTTTAATTATCTGACCAGTGAAAGACTAGAACGCCTGATTGACCGGGCTGGAGCTTACAAAAACTGGTGGGCTGTCAGGATGTGTTCCGCACTGCTGGGTAAACTGGTGGACAGTTTGGCTCCGTCAATCACCAGTATGCTTGTCAGGGGAAAGCAGGTTAAATAGCTTTTTTGAAATTATTTATTAATTTCTAATTTTTTCAAATTATTTTATATTTTTGATTGTGGTAGAATACCTGAATAAGTTACAAATTATAAAGGTCATAACAGTGTTGTTATTGACTTGATATCTGTAGGATGTGTATATATCTAAGCTTTTCTTTAGTCATATGATTAATATGATGTTGTGTGCAAGATACAATTTTTAAGGGATTCAGCAAAAATATGTATTTTTAAACTCTTTAGCATAAAAAAATAGTTTGGTCACGTCATAATTACTGTCTTTGTCAATATATTTACATATGTTCTGCTATTGCCAGATGACAGTTGGTGTGTTTGGCCATGAGGAGGAAGTCCTGGACAAGCCAATCAGCCCAAATGAACTCAAAAATATTCTTTACTCTAAGTGTCTACCCTATGATGTGTGCCAGGCTGTGCTTCAGCAGGAAATTATCTTGGCAATAGGAAAATTGATTGCAACCACTCCTGAGCTGTTTGAGGGAATATTAAAAATACGAATTGGGTAAGTTGTGGGAAATGTTTGGAGGAATATAATATTCCTTAGTGCTAAAAGTACTTAAGTCACAAAAACAACATTTTGAGATAAATTAGTTCAAAGATTAAAATTTGCTATAAAACATTACGTTTTTATATTATTTGTTTGTTTGGAGGAGCAACTTAAATAAATTCTTCAGTATTACTAGATCTATTTGTTTAAAAGATAAAGTTAAACTAGAGGAATAACGATCAATGTGACTTAAGGACTTTAAGCACTAGGTTCTTCAATTTTTAAACATGTTTGTATTTGTTCAATCATAATTCACTGAAAAGAGGAAAAAAATACAAAGTTGTTACTGAAACTCAATTTCTTGTTAAAATTAATTGGATTTATAATTTTTATTTAATTTAAATATATCGATGTAGTTAGTAAATGTTTTAGAATGAACCAAAAATGTTGTGTTACATTCAAACAGCTGGTTTGTTCGTGCCATGCAAGTGGAGCTACAGATGGAAAAGGATGAATCAAAGCATGAGTTGAGCCGGCTGTCTCCCCACCAGGTCAAATGTCTAGTCTGGTCAGTGCTGACCAAAAACACACTGGAGGCTGACTTCAGGTGGGTTTTAGTACTGATCCAGCGTGGAGTTTGGTTAAATGATCTGGGTTGTTCTTTTTAGTACATCTGAACAAATATAAGAAGTCAGGTTTATAATTTTATTTTGTCACATTGCCAGACATGCACCTAAAGTTCTGGTTGATCTACTGGGGAGGGGGTGGTTGGATTGTAGAGCTCATGATTGTTAATCCGAAAGTCTCGATTTCAGATCGTGGGCTCAATTCAGTAGGATGTTCCAGAGTCCACCCAGCTTTGATGGGTACCTGACTCACCTCAGGGAAACTAATGATGAAACAGATGAACTCTACTCCATCTGCCCCATGTGTCTTGATCTAAAAAAAATTCACTGATACTTTTTCTCGTTCTCAGAACCCCTTTCCAGAAACGTCAGCTGGATGGTGCCCTGAACAGGGTACCCAAAGATTTCTATGACAAGGTTTGGGAGATTCTAGAGAAAACACCTGGTGGGATCAAGGTTGCAGGCTATCTTCTTCCACAGGTCAGTTCATGGTACAATGGGTAACTGCTGCACTAGTTTAGAGGGTTAGTTACTGCACTGGTTGAAACGGTTAGCTACTGCAGTGGTTGAAATGGTTAGCAATTACAGTGGTTGAAATGGTTAGCAATTACAGTGGTTGAAATGGTTAGCAACTACAGTGGTTGAAATGGTTAGCAATTACAGTGGTTGAAATGGTTAGCTACTGCAGTGGTTGAAATGGTTAGCAATTACAGTGGTTGAAATGGTTAGCAATTGCAGTGGTTGAAATGGTTAGCTACTACAGTGGTTAAAATGGTTAGCAATTACAGTGGTTGAAATGGTTAGCTACTGCAGTGGTTGAAATGGTTAGCAATTACAGTGGTTGAAATGGTCAGCAATTGCAGTGGTTGAAATGGTTAGCTACTACAGTGGTTAAAATGGTTAGCTGTTATAGTGGTTGAAATGGTTAGCAATTGCAGTGGTTGAAATGTTTAGCAACTACATTTGGGGGAAATGGTTAGCAACTACAGTGGGTGAAATGGTTAACAGTTAGCAGTTAAAAAGCATTGCCGATTGTTGTACTAAAATGGGAATAGTATTTCATCACATTAAATATATTTTACTGTGGTGTTGGTAAGGGGGTGTTTAGGGGTATGGCCCTCAAAATGAAATAAGCTACATGAGATAAATCCTCCCACATACAGCTCACCACCACATAAGTCTCAACTGTGTGACAACATAATGGATGAACCCATATGTAACACAATTTGGTTGTAATTTCCATCATCCTGCTTAACAGTTAACAAATAAATTTAAAAAAACGTCACCACACTTTACTAGTGAACAATAATAAAACTATGATTGTTTAATATATGACTTCTTTTTTTTTCATTTCAGCAACCTACTCAGTCAGATATGACGATGTATGAACTTAACTTTTCCTTACTAGTGGAACAGATGCTGAGTAAAATATCTGACCCATCCTACCGCCAGCTCATGGTGGAAGCCTTCATGGTTGTGTCCACAATTCTTGAAAGAAATCCTGAATTGATGTTTCATCAATCAGCCAATATGGATAAGGTCTGTATTAGTGGATTTTGTTACTTTTAGTATGGGCAGGTGTGTCATGTCTAGTTTTTGGCATTTGATGTTTAGTTACTCTGGTTGTTGGAATTGCTTATGTTATGTTGATGTTTAGTTAGTCTAGTTGTTGGAAACTGCTTCTGTTATTATGTTGATGTTTAGTTAGTCTAGTTGTTGGAACTGTTTCTGTTATTATGTTGATGTTAAGTTAGTATAGTTGATTTAATGCATTTTAACGATTACTATGCATGATGAATTTTCTTCCTTTACATTCTACATTGATTTACATTGTTATTGAAAGTTTCTATAATTATCACATTTTGAAATTGAATAGCTTTTTATTAAACTAGGTTAGAGCTGTCATAATTTTACCAGTTGTATCTTTAAAAGGGTTATCAATTGTTTTTAGATACAAGAACTCAGAGTGAAGAGTTCAAATAATTTTTGTTGTTGCAGATAATTCAAGAGGCTTATGATGAGTTTCAGCAAGATCTGAACAGAATGGAAGGCAGGGAGAAAGAAGATGATATGCATCGCTTTTATAACACTCCCCCAAATGTACGCTATGGCACGACTGCCTACATTGCGAAGGCGGTCATAAAAAATTTACTTGATGGTGACCTGAGAGTGGTATCTGAAGATCTTTGTTCTATTGCTTAAGTATGGTACGCTAGATTGGACTTCACATTGCAGAATATTAGTATCAGTGTTAGAAATTATTTTGAAGTGGGGTTTTTTTTTACCCTAATTTTTTTTCAAATTTTTGCTTCATGAAGAATGAGTTCTTTTTAAATGAGTTTGCTTGAAGCAGAAATAATTTAGTTTTAGTCAGAGAAATTTTTCAAGTGTGGTTGGACCTATTTGCACTTCCCCAAAAAATTGTGTATTTGTATACATATACTTAGTTATTTATTAATGTTCCTTCCACTGATCAAATTTAGTGTTTTGATTCTGTAATACCCCTAAAATATAACATCGGTGGCATTACTAATTTTACAGCATTACCTTATACACTCATTTCCTTTTTTTCAAAAGCTTTTTTTATCATTGTAAAGTAACTTTTAACTACATATTTATACAGTTTTAAAAATATTTTTGTTGATTTACTTAGCGACATGATATGGCAGGTTCAAGGACTGAAAAGGGAGAACAAGATGACAACGGTTTGTTTTAAATTGCAGCTCTCGGTTTTATTGTTTTGATTTAGGGCCTAAAACATTTAATAGCTGAGACAGAAAATGTTTGTGTTAACTGCAAGTGTACAGTGAGTGAAAAGTTGATGTGGCCATTGTCGTGGGATAAGTCTATATTGCTTCCATTTTAAACATGACTGAATGGGAACCTTTTGCTGTAGCAGGGTGAATGTGAGCTCTGATGGCTACAGAGTTGTAACTCATTTTCTTGTGATGTTCAGAACAAGACGATCACAGCAGATCATTTGATGCTGCTAGTTTGAACCCTTTGAAAGTGGTCTCATTCATGAGTTTTTTTTAGCTTTGAAAAAAATATTGATATCTGTGTTTCTGTTGTACAAATATTCTTTTATTACCAAAAAAAACTATTATGGTACATTATGCATAAATCTTAATGGTGCGTTCACTTCTTACATCGATGTGATGATATCTGTGATGAAATCTTTCAGTAGTGAATGTTGTTCATAATACCTTTAAAATACTTTACAACTGATAACTTTACAGCAGTTGCAAAGCCAATTTTGACATATTTTTAAAAAGTCTTCAAGAGACACTAAAACAAACTGAACTCTGTAGTAATAAATCCATTTTCATATTTTTTTTCTTCATAGATGTGGTTCTATTTTTCAATTTTAATTATAGCAACTTTTTTCTATAAATATTGTATTTACTTTAATAACATAAAAAACACTTCAATTTTTGTACTAAGTTTGTTATTAATATGAGCCCAGTAACTAGGTTATAAACATGCTGTTGCTTACACTGGTAATGTGAATTTAAAATTGTCTGTTTTTTGGGTAATTAAAAAAACATAAAAGCAAGTTAGAATTGATATCATTCGGTCATGGGCTGACCTCAATTTACATATAATTGTGATAAAACTGGAATAAAACAACGAAATGAAACAAGAAGAATAAATATGTATTGATTCTGTGATACAAAGTGTGCAAAGGCACTCTCTTCTTTCTCTTACATTTATTACATATGCAAATTGCCTACTGAGGCTAAAATAGATGTAACTAGTACTGTTATGGATACTGTTCATTTTATTTGTATTCAGTTTATCATGCAGGGATTTCTAAAATGTAACTAATTGTTCCTAAGTTTTAAAATTTAGTCTTCAGGTTCAACCAAATTTGGTGCTTGCATGTGAATTGGTTATGTCTGAATATTCTAGTGTTTATTATACACTGTGGTTTAACTATTTCTCTTGAATACTATGGATCTGATCTGTTCCTCATTTTTACATAACAATGAGAATTTAGTGAAGAAAATATGGGGTGTGAAAGTAATAAACTAGATCCATGTGACTCTGGATTCATTGTGTTCACGTTTGACATCTAAAAGTTGTATAAAGTTTGTTAAAATGTTGTACAGATGACCCTCATGCTGGTGTAGTGAAGTAAACTGGAAGCAAACATTTCTTTCGTGTCCTTTTTTTATTTCTTCATATATTTTTTTCAATTCTTTAACTGATGACCAAAGAGTAAAAGATTCATTTCCATTTTCTGTGCCAACAAAAAAGTGCACCCAAGTTTCCTGACTGGACTATTCAAGTTTTTTATTTTAACTCAGTTCCTCCTCATGAGAACCAGTTAAGTGACAACATTTATGGGAGACTGTGTCTTGATTTACAGCATGTGTTGAACTATACATAATTAATCTGTGAAAATTGATTATTTTGCTGAAATCAGCTCTACTAATGGGATTTTGTAAAAATAGGAAATGTTAAAGCTCAGTAGTTGAGTTTAAGTCATAACACTTTGAGGTAGAACATGTCAACCAACTGGATTAATCCATTTGTAAAAGGGAGGAATGTCAAGTAGAAAATTAGATTCCAATGAGCATGTGACTTCATTTATAGAAAACACAAAATCATCCAAAAATACAAATGACTAAAAACAATGAGTAAGTTTAAAAAAACAGCCATTTATTAATTTTTTTTGGTTTTGTTTAGAGAAAGTCAAACTTAGATTACAGCCATACTTAACTAACATACTAATAAAAATATATAGGTTATAGGACAAAAAATGTATGAAGGTCAATAATTTGACAATCAATTTTAGTTTTATACATAATAAATTATACAAGTGTTTAAGATGACAGTAAGAAAGTGCATATTTATAACATATACATGATAAAAAATTCAGCTCAGCTATGGAGATCAATTAATGTTTAACTGTCAGTGACTGCTAGAAGGTGACATCCAGTGCAGCTGGTGCCCTGTCAAAACGGCCCGGGACAAATCGGCCCCGTCAAAACGGCCCCGTTAATACGACCCCGTCAAATCGACTCCCGACAAACCGACCCCGTCAAAATAGCCCCGTCAAAAGGACCCCGACTTATTGGCTCCCGTCAAATGGGCTCCCGTCATATTGACTTGCGACATATAGGCTCCCGACAAATGGGCTCCCGACATTTAGGCTCCCGACAAATGGACTCCCGACATATTAACCCCTGACAAATAGGCTCAGGACATATTGGCTCCCGACAAAGCGGCTTCCGACATATTGGCTCCCGACATAAGGGCTCAAGACAAATGGGCTCCCGGCAAATGGGCTCACGACATTTTGGCTACCGACAAATGGGCTCCCGACATATTGGCTCCCGGCAATTGGGCTCCCGACATATTGGCTTTTGACAAAATGACTCCCGACATATTGGCTCCAGAAAAATGAATGATATGACCACTATTGGCATAAAAGTAACCATTGTGTCCTACCTCCAATACCACCATAACCTCTTTTTAATGCCCGAATGAAATTATTTTTTCATGAACCAAAATTAATTCACAAACAAATCAAGCCCTTAACAGCTAAATTCCACCAATTCTAAAGTTTTGATAATGTTTAATTTACAACAGAAAAGATCTGTTGCTTAAAAGCGAGCACAGAAGTGTAACTGTATGATATACATGATGTTAACATGATAACAGCATTTTGTTTTGATAACCTACAAGAACAGTGGCGTAGCGAGGTCGGGTGTCACCCGGTGCGGCACTTAATGGTGTCACCCCCCCCCCCCAGAGGCGTTGCGACCCTTCGCGGGGACAAACTTTCAAGTTTTCGATTTGCACCCCCCCCCCCAAACTTTCGATTTGCACCCCCACCCTTCACTGGCAGATGTCATATTCAATGAGACCGCTTTGCCTGGAGACTTAGTCTCTACAGAAACGGTATTGTCAGTGCAGTGGCGTAGCTAGGAATTTTGGGCCCCTATGCAAAAATTATCAGTGGGCCCCTTCGTCAGCTGTTAGGCCAGTGGCGTCGCTAGGTCGGGTCTCACCCGGTGCGGCACTTCGTATTGTCACCCCCTCCCAGGAAACAAAACATATATATATATATATATATATATATATATATATATATATATATATATATATATATATATATATATATATATATATATATATATATATATATATATATATGTGTGTGTGTGTGTGTGTGTGTGTGTGTGTCGGCCTACATAGGCCTAAAATTTATATATATACCACATACTGGTACACGTGTTTAAGCTTTAATCACTGCTGACTTAATAGTAACGATGTTTATCTACAGTCTGTTTATAATACAGTTGGATGTAGCATTGTTTTCTTTATAGTTTACGTTTACGTCGTGGTGTCACACTTCCTCCCCCCCCCCCCCCCCCTCTTGATATAATTTTCGATTTGTACTTAGAAGACTATTTAACTTTAACTAATGGATCTGGAAAATGGCATTTCATTCTATAAATTTTACAATTTTTTGCCTTTGGTGTCACCCCCCCCCCCAATAAATGGTGTCACCCGTTGCGGTCCGCACCCCCCGCCTCGCCTTCGCTACGCCTCTGCGTTAGGCTACAGAGGAGTTAAACGAAGAGATCAACTTCTACTTACGATGGATATTTTTTAATATATAAATATTCTGAAGGTAACATTTTGTATTTTATATGTCCTGATTTTGTATTTATACTATATTATTATGCTTGCCTACTACTGCTAAAAAGTTTATTTATAGGCTGATTCTCTCAATGTCTTGCACGACAAAGTGATATAGCCTGTAGTGTTATTATAACAATTGGGCTCTGTTTGACCCACAAACACTGAATCCCACTGCCGAAACGGTGGGGGGGCTTTTTTGGACTTTTAACCTTTTTCTTTTTTAAAATTATTTATATGTAACAAATATTAAAATTCCATTGTAAAAGTTTTAATTTTTTATGAGGGAAAAGGGCCCCTATGTGCCTTGGGCCCCCATGCCTTGCTTACGCTAGCTTTACGGTAGCTACGCCACTGTGTCAGTGGTCCTTTTGTCTGGAGCCAAATTGACAGGAGCCTTTTTGTCGGGAGCCAAAATGACGCTAGCCTATTTGTCGGGAGTCGTAATGACGGGGGCCGTTTTGTGGAGAAACTAAATGGCGGGAGCCTATTTGTCGGGAGTCGTAATGACGGGGGCCGTTTTGTGGAAAAAACTAAATGACGGGAGACTATATGTCGGGAGCCAAAATGACGGGAGCCTATTTGTCAGGAGCCTTATTGACTGGAGCCCTTTTTTCGGGAGCCTATATAACGGGAGCCTATTTGTCGGTAGTCTAAATGACGGGAGCCTATTTGTCGGGAGCCTATATGACGGGGTCCATATGTCGCTGGCCCTTTTGACGGGGCCGATTTGACGGGGTCGTTTTGACGGGGTCGTTTTGTCGGGGTCGTTTTGACGGGGCCGTTTCGTCATTGGCCGAATTGACGCCGCACGAGTGCAGCTACACTGATTTAAGGCTTACAGTGATAAAGGTCTTATTTATAAATAACAAGTTTTTTTTTTTTTACAAAGATATTTATACCTGTTGATGAATTGTACAAATGGATGAAATTTCAAACGATTTTTAAAAAAAAATAACAATTGGCAATTACAATTAATTAAAAAACCTAATCACTTAATGTCTCATAATCAATTGACACAGCTAAACTCATTCAGTATTTTTAAAAAATCTCTTAAATTCATCAATCAAAAATCACTTTAAAAAGATGTTTGACATTTATTTTATGATTATTATCACATAATTGATCTTTTCCAAGCAATGCAAACTCCAGCGATCTCAGCTCTATCTAAAACAAATCTTTTTGTTATCATGTGGTCAATGGCTCTAACAATCAACAGCCACTTCACTAGCACAGAGCTTAAATCTACAAGGCTACTGTTTACACCCATCAGACAGACGCATTTTTAAGTGTTGTCCGCATCATATGACACCACATGCATTCTTGGGGACAAGCAATGTATAATAAAATTTGCAAGGTTTATTGTTGTCTTGAAATCACAGTCTGGTTTCATTGACTACCTGAATGTTATTACAAACAATACATTTAACACTTTAAGTTGTAAAAACAATACAGGAAAGTGGTTATATTTATATATACAGACTTGCTAAAAAAAACATGCAAATGTTAGCTTTTTATTGGTGTATAATATTTCTTCTGTTACCAACATATTTTTTTAAAAAACAATCCCAAGAGAAACATTGATAATTTTTAAAAGTTTAACTTCTAATTTGTAGCAACTCCAATCTCAATTCTTATTACATTGATGGAATCAATGGACAACAGTGCTCACTGTAATTTAGTTAAGAAAACAAACATCCATATAAAATATTAAACATTCTAATTTTGACAAGACTATACTGTTCTAGACATTAGCTTGGGTGCAATCCAGACATTTGTTTGTACCAATGTACAGGACAATTGATTGGACACAACTCAGTACAAGACATTTGATTGGATACAACACTTCTATAGGTTCATGCTATGATAAGCCAGCTAAAACCCAGACTAACAGGGTTACAACACAGAACTAAAACATATATACATTAAGGTAGTTCCTTTTACATTTTATAAAAGGGGAAGTGTTTTGTAATATTAAAATAGTATAATATAATATTATAATATTAATAGTTCTAAAAAAATTTTTATAACAACAAATGATTCTGTATTAATGTTGGGGGGGGGGGATGTTTTTTTTAATTAATTTTATACTAGGGAATATGTGCTTTGTATTAACTTTATAAATAAAAGATGTGTGCTGTATTACTTTAACAGGCAGTTTACAGAAACAGAAAAATATATTTTTAAACATTCATATGCTCACTACAAAATTTAAATATGTTTTTTAAAAAATTAACATATTATTAAATGACTAAAATAGCTGGCTTTAAAAAAATATCAGTGTGAAATATCAGCTGTTAACGATGAGATATTCTTCAACAATTAATTATCTAGACAGAAATATTTTCAAAAACTCTGCTTATTGTACAGAAACATCACCCACCAAAGACAAAATTCTGCTTGAAGCTTTGATTGTAAAAGATTTTGAGATTTTAATTATTTATTTTTGAAAAATATAAAATAAAAAAGATAAATAACAACTAACTCAAGTAGAGGCTGCATTAAAATATATAATAATAAACTGTAAAAGTTACAAAAAGTTTCTATTAATGGATAAGTTGTACCCAGTTATACTTTAAATGTGTTACACAAAATTAAATGTAGTATCAGACATTAGGAAATAGCATACATTTGTTTTCTATTCGACCAGAAGTAAAAATAGATTTCTAAAAACTAATGAGTAATCAAAACTTTAAAATATTTTTTAAAATAACAAGTTATTGAAACTTGATTTATTTTTAAATAATTAAATGAAAATAAAGTAGTATTCTTTTAAAAACTATTAATTGCGTAAGTATTTTACATATAAAAACTTTTTTAAAATTTTCATTTTGATGTTTTAAAAATGAGAACAGCTGTTTGCACATTCTTTTAACTTGTGTAAGTTTTAGGATTAATAAATCACTAAAAAGTCACTGGACCATTAACTAAGGCACTGTAGCTAACTTGCTACTCTTTGAGACATGCCAACAAGATCATTGGGCATTAATATATCAATCAAAAAGTTACCATCAGGATGTTAAGATTAAATGAGATGGTTCTAAACAAACTAGAATCTGAGTGAAATGTTCTTAGTTTTTCATCATCCCACTAATTAAAGCATAGTTTTATTTTGTTGTTGTTTATAACTGTAAATAAGCCTTCTTTTTGTATTAAAACTAAGGTAAAAGTATCAAAACAAAATTTAAAACACTAAAAAAAAACAACCTACAATCATGTTTTTAGACCATTATTATTACTGTAAAATGCATTTTTCCACTTGAATTGTTAAAATAAGTGTCAAAGTGGCTAAAATATTAAGAATGTTGACAACCTATTGCATTAAGCTGTTAATTTAATTAAGTGTAGTAGTATAATCAATCAGATTTTAAAATATCTAATAGGGGGCCTACAAGTTTGGCCAGCAACTGAGGTTAACTATTCATTTATTTCTTTACTGATGGATAGCATTGACCACCCATTAACCACTAGAAGAGATGAGATTTATCCCATGCTACTACACTACTCAGATGCCTTGGTTACCTACAAACAAATAATGTATCATTTCACCAGGAGATTTTGAATATCTAGCAATTTTTTTTTATACTCAGGATGGAAATCATTTGCATACAGGATGGAATATATTCAACAAGTTATACATTGGAGTATGATAAGACCCAAGCAGTCAACAATAGTTATGGTTTTGGGGCAAGATCGTTGACAAACAGAAAAGTAAACACAATCTAAAGTGGTTTTATGAGGAATACAATTGCACAGAGCTTGCAGTGACACTGAGTGGACCTTGAATATTGCTGTCACATGGATATCCATTAACTGTTACATAATCAGACTTAAGACTTCAATACATCCCATGTTACACCCAATCTTTCCAAATATCAAATTTGTTTTTTAAACAAAAAACCTAAATCCTTTACATAAATGCATCTCAGCACATTTCTGATGAGAATAAAGTATCATCAATGATGGTGTTACAAAATGCTCGGTGCTTCATTACAAGGGTGTTACAGCTTATGTGGGTATTCATTGGGTGAGAGGTGTTGCAGCTTTGGCGTGGTTAAGGTGTTATATGAATGGTGTGTTGAGATGTTTTTGGTGTTATGGATTTCAGCACCATTATCTGTTAGTACACAATTACACCATTCACTGTTTCTGATGCATACTGAACACTTTTAAAATGTCAATTTTCACATTGTGGTAAGTTGTATTATACTTTCACATGTGAATTCTGTTGGGGGAGTTGGCAAGATTGAACCACAAATAATTTAAGTCCTTGTCAGAATAATTGACAATTAGTGACACACTATTTACATATTTACCATGTTAATGGCTTCTTTTCACCAAGAATAAAAAAATCATTAACACTAATTGGATTAACTTGTCCAGCATAATTATGTATAATTTAGGCAAAAAATTATTCTATATCAATATTTGTTTGAAATTACAGATCATAGAAGCTTCTCAATCAAGATATTTTACACACAATATTTTCTTCTTCGTGAGTGTTAGCTGTCAGCAAGGGCCAGTAAATTTTTTCAAAGCAAATTATTGAAAAAAGAAAAAATTGAAAATAAACACAAACACAACCTTCCCATCCCATCCACCTCAATTTAAAAGAACAGAAGATGTATTAACGCTAAAATCATCAAAATCAGTGGTAAGTTTTCAACCAATTAAACATTTGGTTTTTTTAAAAAAACAGGACCAATGGGAAAAAATAAACACTATGAACCAGCAGCGGAAAAAGAAAACAAAGCTGTGAAGATTATATTTTCGGTCGCTGGGTTTGTTTTTTTAATGCAGCTTTTTATTTACAGCAGCTGTGATGGAATGAGATGACAGACTTGGTTAGCAAAAACACAACATGATCTCAAAAAGCAAACCAAGCTAGTCAAGGAAAGTTAAATCTATATTCACAGGTTTTTTCTGAGGTATAAATCAATATTAGTTTTATGCACAAAACAACAAAGGAGTGTCTTCCTATTAATAATTACAAGTTTCAGATCAGCTATTTTTTTTTAAATATTTATAAATATATACACACAAGTACATGAATGGAGTGACTAAAAACTAATGCTTTAAAAATTATAGACATGAATAAATGTAAACAAAGAATTATTTTCAAAAGAAAAAAACATGCCAAAATTTGCAATAACTGATAAATAGTAAATCAATTGTGTGGACTGTTTTGTTCTATTCACAATTTTTAAATAAAAAAATTATGGTTTTATTAAAAAGGCTAAATTAAAAATTTGGAATTTTTGTACAAAGCTGATTAGCAACAAAGGATAGTGGACTTTACTAGGTTTCTATTTTTAAATTCTTAAAAATTACCTTGATTATTTTTTTTTGTCAAACAGGCCATAAAAAGCAAGTTATATAATATTTTTAAAATTATGAAGTTTAAATATGTTACAAATAATATACGCAATACAGTTACCTTAGTATAGGGGGTTAATAGAAGAATTAAGAATAAAATGTTAATTATCTATTTTATCTTTTAAAATAATTTAATTTTCTAAATATAGGTAAAAAGGCAAAGAGAAAAAAGCTATCACAAATTTACATAATGAAATCGTGTACCTAAATGTCAAACTATAATTACATGCGCTGTGCAACTCTGGAAGCCTTAAAGCCAGATGGGCGTACTCGCTTGTTCTTACGACTGTTGCCCTTTGGTTGACCTTGGCAATCCCTTGCCATATTCTGGCGCTGGCACTTGCCACTTGTTATATTTTCATGGGCCTTGATGTACTGGCAGCGACGAGCTGATCGTAGGCTCTTAACCTGCTGGCTAATCAACACGTTTGGGTTCAGCACTGCCTGTATGTTGTGTCTGTGCTGGCGTGCAACAAGCTCAGCTGGCGTCTGCTGCACGGGCCTCTCCTCACTTTCTAGCTCCTCCTCTTCCTGTAGGGTGACAGCATTATTTTCACCTGTGGGACGAGTGGAAAGGTAGGGGTGAGAGGGAGTGAAGGGAAATGAAAGGTACACTGACATAGAGGGGTGCTCAATCAACAGATTCTCCAGGGGGCTGGATGCGATAGGAGTGAGCTCCCCTACACCTGAGCCAGTGAAGCAAGGGGCAGGGGCCACAAGCCACGGCTCACTACTGTTACCACGGGGTCGATATGTGGCGTGAGACCTGCCAGAGCTGGCTGAGAAAACAGACTCAGGTGAAGACTCATTGTCCGAGGAGTAGTTACTGTCTATGTCAAAGTAGTTATTTACACAGTCGTGAAGTGGCATCTCAAAACAGTTGCCTTCACTGTGTGGTGAACATGGACAACTGGCCGCCAAGGTGTTGGCTTCATCCAGCAATTCTTCCACATTGCTTGAGGAGTTCTGTGATAGAGATTCATGTCCTCCCACATGTGTGCTGGGGTGACTGAGCGATGAATGTTGTTGGTGGTGATGAAAGTGGGTATGATGTTGTTGGTGAGAGGACTGTACAAGGTTCTCCTTATCTGAAAGGCAAAAAGTTAAAATGCAGAAAAGTTCCACATTATTTATTACTTCATCATCTGTCACCACCAAGGCAGAAATACATGCAATAAGACTTTGAAAACAAGGAAGAACAGGTTAAAAACATAAACTTGTGGAAACAAAAGAATTAGGAAACCACTAAAGTTTATCAAATTTAACAGTTATAAAGAAAAATAAATCACGGACTAAGCCACTTACTTCTAATAGTCCAAGAACTTTCAAATATATAAAAAATATATTTATAAATCTTAAGAACAAAATCTAGATGCCTCACAGTTTATAACATTTACGTCAAGAAGAGACACAAAATAAATATAAAATAAATAAAAACTGTCAATAGAAACAAAAGAAGTTGTGAAGATTAGACTTGGCTATGGATCGATGGAATGGAATTTTTTGCAAAGATTTAAAGATTCTGTGTGCTACTTTGTTAAGATATCAGTCACTATCTGCCTCTCCACCTTGTGCATATATCTGCCTGTTGTAAAATTGACAGTTTTGAAGCAATGGTGGAAAAAAAAACAAGGAGCATGTGGTATTGAGTGTGTTGCCCTCTTCAGTGAATCAACCAGTATTATTGTCAATGAATGTGTAAACAGTAATGTCTTTGCCTAATTATTAGTTATGTGATTTTGAAAAAAAATAAAGCAGAATATGTTTAACATAAAAGTGAACATTGAAAACAAGAAATCCTTGCACACAAACTGGCCCAGCACTCACCAGGAGAGTTAACAACCACCCAATCTTCAACTTGCTGGGTTTCCAGTTGTTCTCCCAACACTTCTTCATCTGCTTCACTGACAGCAGATGAACCATAGATGAGTTTGTTCAAAACCCACATCTTGATTGATCTGCAAAAGAAAAGGGATAAATACTCTTCAATCGAAATTGCTTTGAAGAGTTTTTACATGTACACAATTTGTCCAGGTAAAGCTTTCATAAACCAAATAAATATTGGTTGGAAATTGGTTTCTGTTGAGTTAAAATTAATAACTACTTCATTACTCTGTTGGTAGTAGTAGAAAGGAGGAACAAAAATGTCAAGTATTCAATGAATGATCAGGTCACCGTGGACTTTGGTCCACTCAACCTTTCAACTTGGATGAGTAATTGTAAAGAGAGGCTGATTTGATACACATGTAACAAAATGTTTGCATAACAAGTTGAATTTTTTTTTTACTTTCAAATAAAGCATTTGTGAGGTAAAACTCATTAAAAATCCAACATGTCATTGAATCTTATAAAATAGGATTTTAAAATTTAGAATATTTCATTGCTTCAAAAATAGGCAAAAATTAGAGAATTTAAAAAAGCGAATGTGGTTGACTACACATTCATCCACTTCACCTTTGCTCTCCTCAATGGACCTTACTGTGTTCTGTTCTATGTATTGCACACACAACAATCATTTAAGTTCATGAAACAAAAAGTCTATCTCTTGAAACTCAAGAAAACTGATTTAATGAGATTACAGTATCAAACATGCAATGGAAAGTTATTTTAGAAGCTTTGCAGTAGGTATAACTTTAACTTTATTACTATCTAAATCAGGTTTGACAAGAAGCACAATTAAAGTATTTTTTTATCTGCAGTGTCCTCATTGCTATAATTAGAATTATAAACCCATCCCATGCTTCATCTACTAAATGGTAAAGATAAAAGGCTAGCCTCTGATTTGCTAGAAACAAAGAAACCCCTTATTCTATATTTTAGGGCTAATATTAGTTATCTTTATCTGCAACCACAAGTGTAAGTCTACTCAAACACCAAAGATGTTTAATTCTTATTTCCAATATTTAAAAGCTAAAATTTTTTTTTCTTTGTTGGTGGGCTATATAGAATCAAGTGGTAGATCTACATAGATCTATATAGAAGGCAATATACTGAATGTAGTTAACATATGTACAATAAAGCTAATGAAACTCATAGCACTGGAAAATTAACTTTATTGTTAGTCTTGTTAGTCTTTAGACTTAAATTATAGTTCTCTACGCAGAAACTGAGACATAGCTAATTAAAATAGTATTATTAATATTATTATTACGGAGACTTAGTCCAGTTGGTAGGAAGCCTTCTGCTCCAGATAACGGACGTCTTTTTTTCTAAATAAAACATTGACGTAATATTGAGAAGGTCCAATCGATATGACCCACATTTTATTTTTACTTTACTATATTTACATTAGGCGTTTGCGCAAAGGTTAAATCAACAGAGAGACAGTTAAAAATAGTTCGCGCCTGCTTTAGATTTTACCAATGAACTACTAAGCTGAACGCGTATTAGACTAAATCTAGATCTATATTGCAACAGTGGTGCAATGAGAAGGTTTAACCTAAAACTGTGTTACAAAAAGGGGGAGGTATACAACTGTGCGAGATTACGAATACAATGGTTGAAATCGCACCATACTGTGCAATCGCCGACTTAGGCTACACGGTTTGACTTTAAGACGATTATCTATTAAAAATGCACTTTCTTTTGAAAATCTAGAATAATCTAGATCTATAACTGCTTCCCAATAACTAAATGTGGCTATATTTAAATAATATATCAGACTCACGAGTTTTTGAATTTAAAAACTTTGTGTAGATTTTTAAAGAAAAAACTTTAATAACTGCGTAGTATGAACAAAACCCCGTAGCCGATTAAAAACACTACCACTATTGTATTGTGACAGACAGAAAGAACCGAGTGCTCAGGTGGAAATGTTTGATAGGACAATTAATGCCCCCCCCCCCCCCCCCACTTGCCCTCCCCCAAGCGCTCTTCATATCTCTTTGTACAAAACTCGATCGGAGGTGCCCATAAGCCAAAAGAAAGGCAAATTAGATCTGCAAATGAATATTCATAACCAGTTGTCATGGAAAAGTTTGTTTCACGTTAGTTCACCTAATTTCCGTCAAGAAAAAAATAGGTCAATTTCTAATGTTCTATATCTTTAATTACATACTTCGACAACTGTTACAGTTACAAGAGTTAAGTCTATATCCCTCGTCATGAAATATGTATACGACGTGTATAAGCTTTTGTTGAGTGTATCCAAAATATAAAGCAGTTCGACAAGTTATTGGGTTAACGCTGACGGCCTACCTAAAAATAACTTCCAATCTTGACCTTTACATTTTATGACGTAGTAACCTTTATCTTTCTGTTTGAATTATTAGTACTTAGTACACTTAGAAACTACAGTAGCGAACAAAATGTCTATAAAAATAACTTAGTAACAGAAAAAAGCTAGAGGTTTTAATGCGGAAGACTGAATAAAAAAACGGTTTACACACACTTATGACTGCACTTCTGACCGAATATGCAAATTGTGTAATGAAGGGCATTCCGTTTCTAGATCTAGACCTATTATATATTTTTAATGAAGTTTCAGTTGCCACTACGAAAACACAAATAATTTACAATCAAAATGCATCATACTTCGTATGCATTTTATGTAAACCTACGACACACTGTAGCATGAGTAAACTAATATGATTATTCTAATCAGTATGAGATGTAGGAATAGGCCTAATAAATCTAATACTACACCACTATTGTTATGACCTAAATACTAAATACTGTTGGTTGTGTGTATTAATCGGCAGCCATAGCAAAATTTATACCTAAAATATTAACACATTTTCATCTTTAATGTACGCTATAAATGCATATGGCAATACTTACATAGACTAAAATATAAACACAATTTTAGAAGTAACGAGCCTAATTCTGAACCTAAACTGAGCAACTGCAAAAATTTGTTGATAGGGTGGAGAACAGCTGATCAAACCCAGCGACCATCAGCGCAAGCGTCAGCGCTTTGTTTACGTATGAAGAAATACTCAATTTTCATTGGTTGCTGTGTTCCCAACAGGGGGAGCCTACTATATATTAATGAGGTCAACTTCCTTTAAAGGAATATACTATGTTTTCATCACGTGTATATCACGAATAACCCGGATCGAAATTATAGAATCCGCCAATATGATTCGTTGATGCTAATGTTTACTGTTTTATTTTTGAATCACCACGAGGCAACGAACCAATATATTCATGGGCATTATAATTATACAACAGTGATAATGACCCCGCATCGTAATGATTACTTACTAGACTATATCCTAAACACTAAACCCCCATAACCGTCTCAAAATTTGAATAGCAAGTCAGTTGTTTTAAGCCAAAGAGTAATTTGACCTTACTTTCCACCGCAGTTGATTATAACGCAAGCAAAATGAAAATAGGTTAATTCATACATCCACGGATAACGTCATGACTACATTATTATTTATTAAAGTATCATAATAAAGAGATTTTTAAAATAATAATTCAGATCTAGTTCAAGTAATTTACATTCTTCACAAAAAAATCTTTCAGAGTAATAGTTAGATGGATATTATATAATGGTTAAACGTTTTTTTAAGTGGCACAATAATTGGGCCTTTTTTCAATTGCGGTTGGTTTTAAAGTTTCTCGCATTACAAATGAGTGGTGATGGGGAGGAGAGAGAAAACACTAATATTATTTATTACTAGGCATCGAAATGATATAATAATCTTGATCTATAGATTCTACATGTATACTACTAGTGTGGTCAGCACTATGCCCAGCCGCCTTTACTTTCCCTAACGTGAGTTAGGTACCCATCAGAGTTGGGTGGACTCAGGGACGGTCTACTGACTTGACGGTCTACTGACTTGAACCCGGATTAAGGGTTTTTAAAGTCATTTTAATAGTCATTACTATTCCTGATCAGCACTTTGGTTTTTAAAGTGCTGATCAGGAATAGTAATGACTATAACTTTTTTGTAAAAGCTAAGACCTTTAACTTGAGTTTATATATTTCAAGCATCCTATCAACAAAAAGAAACTAGATCTATATTGTTTCAGCAATCTAAGGCATACAAAAATATAGTTAAATCTAGATTCTATGGCCATGTTATTTTAAAAAGAGCAACACCCCCCCCCCCCCAATCAAATAAATATTTTATCAGCATCTGGTTATTTACCAAGAATCATTTAGAATGGTGTAACCTCAACATTTTAATTTGACATGCTTCATACTGTCTGCAAACAAATTTTCAGAACAAATCTGGACCCCTGGAATTTTCTGTCCAAAGATTGTTTGCACACAGAAATTGTAACAAATTGAAAAATTGAAAATTTCAGGGATATCAGCAAAGAAGAAATATGTATCCAGAGACAAAACTTTACTATTATGTAAAGAAAATTTTACTTTTAACATTTTGCGCTTCATTTAAACAAAACAAAGAGAATCCACTGCTTTAGCTACAGCTTCAGAAATTTTGAATTTTTTCCAATACCTTTTGATTGAACTATATATATATATATATATATATATATATATATATATATATATATATATATATATATATATATATATATATATATATATATATATATATATATATATATAATTTACTCACCAAGCTCTGCATTCAGTATCAATCACTGTCTTCTGTAGACTCAGTCTGCTGATTTAACTTGGCTACTGGTGTTTTTACTCCTATGATAGAACCAACTTTGAACAGTGTTTCCACCAAACTTATCACTTCATAAACCATTGCTAATTTTATATTCAGAACATCCAGTACTCCTTCTTGAAAGGGATTGCACACTCTTCCAAACTGATTCAATCCAGCAATAGCCTGCTGAGATAACAGTTGTGTTATTTCCTGGTAAGCTTTCATGTACAGTCTGTCAGTATTCCCTCCATTGGCCAGATTGCTATGGAGCTTGTGAGGCACTGACTGCAACATTTTAACTAACACACTGCAACAAAATTGTTTATGCTTTGGAAGATAAATATTCTTTGATGCATAATTACTGAGTAGATGTGACATGAGATATTCAAAGTACCCTCCACCAGCTATAACGCTGGCGGTTGACTTCAATCCCACTTTGTCATCTGGGTTTAAATTATCATGATTACAACTCATTGGATTAGATTTTGTAACTACGGCATTAATTTCTTTGCTTTCTGAGTCAAAAGTGGATGAAAACTGATTCAAATTTTGCATATCCTCCTCAAGGGTAAGAAAATTGCCTTCAAAAGTATCACAGTTTGAATCAATACTACTTTGCTTTACAATTTTAAGACATCTCTTTATGGTTTGTTTCAGCTGCTGTGTTAATCCATCTATAGGTGCACTTAAAAACATGCAACTAAAATGAGAACATGAATAGCTGTTGTTAAGCTTAAGTTTCAGAAAACATTTCCCAGCAGTAAACATTTTATCATAAGAATCCAATGCAATAATGTTATCAGAAGTTACATTATCATAGACACTTGACAAAGGTAACTTGTTAAAAAGATAAGTTAAAAACTTTAAATCCCTCTGATCTATGCACGAAACAATATCAATTTTTAATTCACCACAAATCTGTAGAACATAACTTGGGACCACCTCAGAACTCAAAACTAATGAAACACCTCTGCTTTTAATTTCAGTAAGAAATTTATAAGCAATTGATGGTTTAAGAGTAAGAAAACTGTCTGTTGATTCTGTAGACAATGTCACAATATCTGATGAATTTCTGTCTGTACTCCCTTCTATTGCACACTGCATCAGAATACAATTTTTAACTTCTTTCTGTGAATTTTGAACTAAATATATATTTCCCTGGATGAAAATTCCTTCTAAAATATGGGATGCACTATATAGACTATTGAATGTAAACACATAACAATCAAACCATTCCACTGCAAAAGTAACATTTAGTAAACTCTGGTTTAAACTTTTTATAAAATCCAATATCAAGTGTGCAAGATGTTCAACAACATCTTCAGAAAAAGTACCATTCATGTATGACTTAGTCACAAAATAAAGTAACTTGTCAGAATCCAATTGAAGCTCATTAAATTGAATTCTATTTTGAAATGAAGAAAATTGTTTGATTTTGTCACAAATGTAAGGAAAATCCTCAATCATAAAATCATGTAAACATTTTGCAACTGCAACTTTATATGGAGCATTATCACTGTGTAGATCAAGCTGAAAGCAATTGTGTTCAATTGCAGTGATCAAATTGTACAAGTAGATCATAAATGTTTTGCAACCATCTCCATAAACATCACAAAATGAACTTACACCATTAAGGATGCATTTAGCCAAGGGATGTGAGAAGTTTATTGATCTTAAAATATTGATACCTTCATTGGTAACTATAACTTGCCCAGTGGAAGATGTCAACAGTGTTTTTGAGCCACTTGGACCAAATGATGATGCGACAAGGTTCATCATTGAACCACTAATCTGCTTTAAATCCTTGAAATGTATTAATGTCTCAGAACAAGCCATGTCAAGTTCTGTCAAGTTCATTCAAGCAAGATGCTGTTATCTGTGAAAATGATGAATAAATGAATTTGACTAGTAAAAATACTTTTTTAATACACATACACTAGAACCCATATTATAAATTTACTCAGTAATAAAAAAAATTAACACTGCACTTAACTAGAAAAAATAATAGAGAGCTAGACTGCCAACCCAAAAGTCTCAAGTTCGAATCCGGGTTCAAGTCAGTAGGACGTCCCTGAGTCCACCTAGCTCTGAGGTGTACCTAACTCACGTAAGGCAGCTGGGCACGTAAGGCAGCTGGGCATAGTGCTGAACACACTATCTCTTCATTTGCTAAGGTCCCTAAAACAGATGAACTCTACTTCATCTGCCCTATGTGTCTTGGGCATAAATGGGAAAAGATGAAATAATGTATGATGTCTATTTATTTTAAGAGAATTGAATACCAGGACAAAATTAAATTTCCTATTGGTTAGTGATATTCTCTATTTGATAAATCAACAACTGCTATCATAATAACCATATTGCAAATTCAACTATTGACGAATGCCAGGGTGTGATACCAACAAACAAAAACATTGCCCTGCCAGCAAACATGGGTGTACAGCAAACAGTTATACTGGCTACATAATCAACTCTGTACAAAATATTTATTTTATTTAAACAATGCCCTTTACTGGTTTTTACAAGAAACAATAAATTTGTTACACTACAATTTGTAAAATAAAAAGGAGGTCTATAACCAGATTGAAATAAAACATTTTCCAATTATGTTTTAATTTAATTAATTTATTTAGGCAGCAGTCTGAAACAAGCGCTCCTGTGTGGTGACTCACTGAGCTACTAGTTATTATAACTTAGTAAAATAAAGTTTACTGTATTGGATTATAGCCAGTATTGGTGCTACCAATGTCCAAATCTTGCTTATGTTCTTAACTGTGATAACTGATAACAACATAGATCTAGTAAGTATACTATATACTAGTATTTCTCACTAACCCGGGGGCGTGGCCGGTTGCTAACAACAATATGGCGTACGGACCGGATGCATGACTTCCGACGATTTTTCGTCTTAGTTCCAGAGACCTTCTTAGAATTACTTTTAAAATTTTTTATCACGAGTAAAATGGCGGGTTTTCATGTTATAAAAACATGCTATAGGTGGCAAGGCTTAATATGCCAGAAAAGAATTTCAAAATTTGCTTTGGAGAATGAAGGCTAAATTTAAAAGTCGGTCTCATTAAAATTAATAGAACTTCTAAAATATCAGCCCGGAGGTCACAAAAATGAATTGGAGGTTGTAAAATTATTAGTTTTATCATTATATGAAGAAATAAATCAAATATTGCATGCACTTTTTAAAATAAGACACGACTTTTGAATGACAACCAAATTTTTTTTTTTTTAAACCACGTGACCGCTATTTGATGATCACTAGTGGGGAACTCTGGGTACATGGCCACTTAAAAAGTCTAACTTATTTGTGGTTTTCTTTACGTTCAAGCTTAAGAAGAGTTGTCATGGAAAGGTGTGTTGGCCATGGCAGTGAGTGTCAATAAATATTAAATAAAGTAATTTAGTTTAAAATGAACTAAAAACTTCAAAATTAGTGCCTAATGGATTAAATATGGATGTCTATCATTCAGTAGTCATGTTTAATTTGAAATTTGGGTAAATTCTAGATTTAGTAAGAAAAACTACATACTATTATATTATAAGTAGCCCTATAGGCTATAGCTATAGTTCTCAGATTGGTTTCTCTGGTTAGGGATTTAACAACACAACTATTCTGATTCCAGCTTGCTCAAGAATCTAGATAGACTATAATAATATATTATAATTATAATAGTGTCACTATAGATTATCGATAACCAAAACAATGTTTGGTAATCCCTTAGTTTAGCGTCGGTTATTATTCCGGAATCGTATAGCAGTAAAAAACAGTAAAACAATGCCAAAGTCTGTCACACACTTCCGGAATTCACCGGAAGTACTGTAAACAATACTTTATTTGGCGTCATCTTTTATTTTTATACAGAATGTTTAAATTTTGGATAGATTTATTTTTGTAATCATTTTTACATTTTGTAATCATTTTTACTATTTTCGTAATCTAGATTTTTTTACTTGGTCTAGCAGCTAGATATCTAGCTAGATCTAATTAATTAATGGTCGCAAATCCGCTGCAAGCCAAAAACATTAAATTATTACATTTGACTTCATTATTTATATTTATATATGTTTTTTTTAATTTTTAGATCTACTAATTTAAATCTACTATTATATTTATTCTTGTTTTCTTTAGTCGATTAAACTTAAAAAATTAAAACATTAATTTACTACAATCGACTTTCAATTTATTTATATTTCAATGGTCAAATAAACCATGGTTTACCGTAACTCTAGCTACCGAAACTCAACAAACATTACCCGATAATTTCCGACGCTAAACTAAGGGATTACCCAATGTTTTCTACCTCCTCCCTCCCCATCACAAAAAGCCATGTTATCACACTTCTAGATTCTCTACCACCGCCTCCTGAAAATTGCATTTTACTGTACTGTAAACTATAGCAGTGGCATAGGCAGGGGGAACATAACACCCCCCCCCCATAGACCCCCTCGGTATATAATATATATATATATATTAATTATAAAGTATGAGATGAGGCCGAGGGGGTTGTAAATCGAAAGTTTAAGGAGGGGGGTGCAAATCGAAAGGCCTAGTAATTGAATAGTATTTTTAAAAGTATTTTCTTTTTAACTAGAATATATATCTATTAATATATAAGACTAAAATCTAAATCTAGATCTATAGCATTCTATGAGACTATCGTAATATATTATTATAATTTTATGGCATGTTTATAGATCGAAGAAGATAAAAATATTAAATAAGTTATAAAATATATTAAAATGGGGGAACCACATGTGCTAAATGTGTTTTGATAACAATACTTGTTTATTGCCAAAAACAGAGCATAACATAGTGACTGCTGTCGTAAATGCTACGTCGTAAAAATGAATGTTCATGAGTGCCCAACGGTGGCGTAGATTGGGGGCGATGGGGTTGTGGATGGAGGCGGCTTTGGCACTGACCCTACTCCTAGTGTGGACTCAAAAAGAGTACAGTGCCGACAGACCCACAGCCGACCATAATCATTTTTTTAATAGTTGAAAAATAATTTTCTTGCATTTTTGACTTGATGGTTCTTTTGTAAAAAGAATATTGTGACTGCGGTCGAATTATCTTTATTCTATAAACACCACCCCGAGTCTTCTTTCTACATCACACACACGCTGTTTTCGACAAAATTCTTTTGAAAATAAAGTCCATCGCGCGAGAGGCCGCTAGATATTAAAACGACTTTTGCTACTTTATAGCATTGATCTACTACAGTAGTGATTTTTTTTTAAAGATGCACTATTGAATTGTATATAGTTTCTAATAAAATGTCCGCATTTCTTTTTACTAATGTATTCTGTAAGAACTCATTGTCGATGCACGTTGAAATGGGGGGGGGGATTACCATTTATTTTGATGCAGGGGCGTATGCAAGTTTTCGCGGAAGGACAAAAAAGGTGCCAGCTTGTCAATATAGACTGTGTGTGTGTGAGTGTGTATGTTTAATGATTTATTAAATATAAAAAATATACTTAAACTATTCCAGTAAAACTGATTGCAATTTCGGTATCAATATGATGGCATACTCTTAAGACTTTAGAATAACATATTTTTAACAAGATTTTATTTTAAGTAATGATATAGTAGAAGCTACACATTTGAAAATCTTTAGATATATGGACAAACAAAGACAAAATTAAACGGAGCAACAGATGGAAAGATTGGGAAGACAACAGCAGAGAGTGAACAGGTTTAACACTGGAAGAGACATGAAGGTGGCAGACTATTTAGAAGGGCGGAGATGATCAAAGTAAAGATCTATATCGCAAGAATGACCCAAGCGACTATGTAGAATAGGGAGATACAAGAGTTTATAAAACTTTAAGTAGGATATTATAGTCTATTTTCAGCGTATAAAAAATGGCTATTTAGGGTCAGGAGTTGCGAGCGATTTTCACCATTTGACAACTTATCTGACAACTGACAAGATGATAGCGCAAAGGTTAAAAATATGACAGACAGGATGACACATAGGCTAACAGACTATGTTGAATCCCGCTATAAGCTATAATTAAATAATGTTGTAACTCCAGCCCGACGACTTGGGCTTTTTGGTGAAACTGACACACTCGTCACAAATATACCACATCCAGTGGCGTAGCGAGGTCGGGTGTCACCCGGTGCGGCACTTAATGGTGTCACCCCCCCCCCCCCCCCAGAGGCATAGAGACCCTTCCCAGGGACAAACTTTCAAATTTTCGATTTGCACCCCCCCCCCTCAAACTTTCGATTTGCACCCCCCCTCGAGTTTTTCTCTATATATTTTGCTATTTTTTGCCTTGGTGTCACCCCCCTAAATGGTGTCACCCGGTGCGGTCCGCCCCCCCCCGCCCGCCCCCCCCCCCTCGCTACGCCCCTGACCACATCAACAGCGTGCTGTAAAGTGTGTAAGCCATGTCGTTGATTGACGCCTTTACTAACCAATAGCTATATACAGACGCCGACACATAAGAGATACATTAATCAACCAACAGTGAGGTAAAAACGCAGACATCAAGATATATGACTTCATTTAATTAAAAGGTTAATAAGTAGCTTACAGAAAAGCGTTCTCATTACCCACGAGGGTTGTACAGACGCCGATTTAAAATTAACAACCTCAATTTCACTGACTGATCTTGCTTGTGTAAAGTTGTCTGCTTTTTTTTTTAATTAATAATGTCTCCACAGCTAAGTCCGATCCCTAATCACAACATAAGTATAGTCAGTTAGTGTTTCGTTTCTTTCAGTCTTTTTTCTCCGGGGAGGGGAGTGCGGTCCTTCCCCGACCCCCCCCCCCCCCCAACCTCCGAAGAGATGCATGGAAAAAAAATGTAATCTAGCTATAATTATAGATATAGACTGGTGGCAA